AAAAAGGGTATAATAGTCCTTACCATGGTCATTTAAGGATTTAAATCCCAAAGGGGTAAAATGGACATTTACTACACAAAGTATAGCTTCTAAACCTTCCAGGGGTAAAATTGTCTCTTTTTGGGCAAAATATAACATTTGTACTCTCCAGGGGTATTTCTATCATTTTCTAAGGTCATTTTGTACTTTGGTTGAAGTCTGGGGGGTAATTGTGTAATTATACCAAAGTTTTGGGTCAATATGCAAATATTGGTCCATCTAAGCGATTAGATGGTCCATCTAACTAGTTAGATGACCATTCCAGAACAGGTGCAAAGCCCAGGACCTCATCTAACTGATCAGATTAGGGATCTGATCGGTCAGATACTCATCTAACCGATTAGGGGTGTTTAAAAAATTCGGTAAACCGAACCGAACCGGATCACCAGACCGAATTAAACTGGACGATTTAGGCTAGTTGTATAGCGGTTTGGTTCGGTCTTGGGCCAAAAATTATAAAATCGTAATTTTACAATACGATCCTGGTTTGGGGTTCTGCTGGACCGGTCCGATCCGAACTGTTATATAACTTATATTATATATTTAGAAAATATGATATAACTTATAGTTTTGGCTAGACACAAGCTAATCCCACTTCCCACCCTTCTCAATAAAGCTACTCCCAATTTACCCAATTCCCATATTCTTTGAACTTTTCTGAGGGCCATGATGAAAGCTAGCAAACAGAGAGATAAAGAAAAAGAAATGATAGTCCATAAAAAGAAAAACATCATATGAAAATTACCAAACAATAAAAAATTACGCAATCAGAGACCAAATGGTGCAAAAATAAAGCATAATCATTAAGGACCAGAGGAGATTATTGATTTTTTAAACACTAAAGTGGAAAAGTAGTGTTTGTCAAATTGTGTTAGAAAAAATATATATAATAAATATATATACTGAATCTGTTTGTTGTTTCACAAGTTAAGTCCATATTACCGGTTCCCGTCGATGTATTCTATACAGGGAAAAATAAGAAATTATGTTTTTTAAAAATAAAATAAAAAGGAAATCAATTGAAACCGACAAACCGAACTGAACCGATTTTTCGTGATTTGGTTTGGTTCCATGGGCATTATGGTTCGGTCTGGTTTCAGAAATAGTAGAACCGTTATAAATGATTTGGTCCCACAAAACTTCCAATCCAATCTAAACCGGATCGTGTGCAACCTAATAATCGATTACATGGTCCATGTAATCGATTAAATGACAAACCCAGCGAAAATAAACCCACTGCCCAAGCCATCTAACCGATTACATGCCCCATTTAATCGATCAAATGATCCCAGAAACCTGATCTAACTGACTACATAGCCCATGTAGTTGATCGAATGACGTCCTAGATCTAATCAAACCGATCAGATAGCCCATCTAACCGAATAAATGAGATCTCAGCCCGATATGATCGATTAGATCACTCTTCCAAACTTTCCCAAAGCATTCCCAAGACCACTAAACATAAAATAAAACGCCGTAAGCATTGTTTAACATGCAAACATAGCATTGAATCATCAAATATGAAAGATCAACATGTAAATACATCTATTAAAACAACCGTTTTATAGGTCTTTAAGAATCAAATTATACAAATAGTCTTTACACCATTTCAAGGAATTTAAGCACAAAAATGAGGCCGCCATAGCCGTAAATACAACACTATAATATAAGACAATAAAAATCCTAGCGTGGTCTAAGTCCGTAAATGTAAGCCTTACGCCAATTCTTCTCTGGCTTTCCTGAAAATGTTAAAATAAGGGGTGAACTCAATAGCTCAATAAGAAATGTCTAAAATACCGGCTTTGGACACCCTTAAGCCAACAACCAAAGAACGAACGAAAAAAAAAGTCGTGATTATTCTCGGGGAAATATCAAAATTACAATCCATGCCATTCATTTTAAAAGATCATCATAATCAGATAGCAAACACTATCATGAATGCTAATACACTATGAAATGCAATGCCTTCCCGACCACAGTACCGGCCAACACAACACACTAAAAATTGCTAACCGACTTTACCGAGGCGAGATTTATAGCTATCTCTGGTTCCAAATTCGGCAACTATTTGTTCAAAATTCGTAAGTCTAAATCAATGAACAATTATATATATATATATATATATATAAGGTCATTTGAAAACAATTGGTATGATGACTGTGAATTTAAGATTAGAGTAATTAAATAGTAGAATCTTCAACATGACAAAGGCTTTCATTAGAATACTAGCTAAAGGGTGGTTTTTGACACTGTTAGATCTTTTACGGAGAGCAGGTCATTGATGAAGATCATTAGAAACCTTGAAGCAGTAATGAAAAGTTGATTACTTTTACTTATACTGATCATTTGCAATTGGGTATTACACAAACTTCAAGATCAAATGCATATGGAGTTAGCATTGTATGAATGGTAAATACAGAAAGAAACTGGTCTTGGTCTGAGTTGGAGCATATGGATACATAGTATTTCATCTCAACTCTCAAGGAAAACTTAAAGTGCATGCAATTAAACCCAAAAAATAATGAAAGAAGGAAGGAAGAAAAGGGAGGAAAAGAGTCAAAACAAACAAAGGGAAGAGCCCTATTATTATACAGATCATTGGGAAAAAATGCAGATTTAAAAATATTAATTTAGACTTACGAATTTTGAACAAACAGGCTGTGGTTCTATCTAGTATCTTACAATACTCGTGTAATTGTATAAATGTCTACATTAATAGATGTATGAATCAACTTAAGTTTCAGTTGTCTAACAATTGACTTCACAATCATATTTCTTCTTGGTAAAATGCTGTGAAATCAGAGTTCAAATGAATAAGAAAAGTTGGAATTGTTAGATTACCTCAAGCATTGTGCACAGAAAAGGAAGGCATGGATCAGAAGGCTCTAAGAAATGCAAAGAAGCAACAAAGTCTTCTGCAAATGAGGTAGTAGAATCATTAAAAACAAATGTGCATTCACGAGAAACTACCTTCTCAAAGGTGACAGTATTTTTTTTCATTTCCTATATTAAAATCCAGTGAACATAATTTTTTGAGCATCACCAGAAGAACTTGCCCATTTTTCAAAAGAAGATGTTGTTCAGGCCCAAGCAAGTTCAAGATGGCCATACAACATCTTACCAGCAAATTTAATACTTCAGCAGCAGCCCATGTATCTGAAAGCAAGCTAGCTTGTCCACTGCCTTGACTTGCAGAAACATCAAGTAAAGCAGAGAAAAACAGCTCAAACCTCTTTACGAGTCCTTCAAACAGTATATCAGAGAGACTACCTATGCCTTTAAATGTTACCCTGATCTGACAATTATCAATTTCCATCTCCAAGTAATTTGAATCAGCTCCATATTTTAAAGGTTTTGAAGACAAATGAACGAGCAGATAATCACCATTTATTTTCCAAAGCACAATTCCTCATTTGAAAATAAAAAAGAAAACATGGATGATTCTGACGAAACAGTGCAAAAATGATTTCCATGGATCATTTTTAACACAAATTTTTAAAATGAAATGCAAGAGATTATGCAAAAGGAGGTTGCTTCCTATAAAATTTCAACATACATAGATACACATGAACATAGACATACCTATATATATATATATGTGTGTGTGTGTTGTAAGTAACATACTATATATTTATAGACAAATATAGATAATTATAGAAGTGGCTGCACTTATTCAGCAAATAAGTCAAGAAACTCTAGTCTTACCCACCACTCGCGGAGGAAAAGGCAAAAATAAAAAATTAAACAGAACAAAAAATTAAGTGCATGAGAGAGACGGGTACCTCAGGAGATTTATTGGCGGATAGCAGGTTCTGGAAGATCGGTGAAAGTTCAAAGAAGAACCAATTATATATCTATAAATATATATTCAGAGAAGAACAGAGATCAACATACGTACCTTGGTTATTTTCCTCTGAAGGTAAAGCTCGTGAAGTTTGGGCTTAGAGGATTAGGGTTTCTTGTGGATTTTGGTTGATGGATCGATGTGTGCGAAGTGGATTTTGGTTGATGGATCGATGTGTGCGAATTTGGGAGGAATGGAACCTTTTTTGCGCTGCTAGAGCTCGCTGAAAAAGAAGCCGCCAAATCAAATTTTCACAAAAAGAAACCCTATTCTATAAGGGCCCATGTGGGCCTGTTGTAGAAAGTCCTTTCTACAACAGGCTATCCGGGCCTGTTGTCGAAAACTACTCTGCTTGTTGTAGAAAGTACTTTCTACAAGGGCTCTGTATGCCCCTTGTAGAAAATGTGTTGTTAAGAGCCCATTTTGTTGTAGTGTCACCCAACCCAACCCAAGTGATACAAAAACACGAAAGAGGTTCTCCATGTATCAACAGACAGGAGAGTCTTTAAACCAGCGGGAAGACTATGAGAAGAAGAAGCAAGATGGTGTGCTCCATCATCATCAAGCTTTTTAAAGGACAGACAGGAGTAAAATATATAACAAAATTATCATTTGAAGAGGGGATACTGATTACACAAATAAACACTGACAACTAGTGCAACTTAGGCATAAAATTGGAAGAGCTTTACTTGGCGGCAAATGCTGCATTTACAAGTTACAGTGTTGATATAAATCACATTTTTATATATCTTATACATTTAAATTAATCAATTCACAATGCAGTATTTGGGGCATATCTAATTATTACTTGGTGGTGTTAGGAGGAAGCAACATACTGAAAAGCAGACTTAATTTCATGATACCAAGAGCATAATATAAAAGCAACAAGATTCTTTTAAGTAAATGGTGGAACTGCAAACTCGATAATTCAATCAATTTCATAAATATTAAGATAGAAAATAGAACTACAATAATTTGAAATAGTCACAACTCAAGTGGTCAATGAGCACCATAAAACAAGAAAGTGCTAAATCAACTGGTGACAAACAACAATAGAATGAAATTGATGTACATAAAACACTAAAATAGTGACCACCCAACCCAGCCCAAGTGATACTCAAACAGGAAAGAGGGTCTCAATGTATGGATGGACATGATGAGGGCGTTTAAACAACGAAAAATCATGAGAAGAAGAAACATGATGGCTTGCTACATCATCAAGCTTCTTAAATGTATTATCCTTAATGTTGTAAGAGATGATCATAGTTGTGTCTACAAATAGCACCAAAAACACATCCTCTTCATCTTCTCCATGAATTAAACTAAGCACTCTTACCGTATCAAAGCTGATAACCATCTCCTCTCTTGATGCAAGATCAACCAACAGCAAGTCAAGGCTAACCCGACGCTTCAATGACCACTTAGAGTAATCACTTTCCATCTCGAATATGTCGAGATTATATCCGGTAGAAGGAATAAGATGCAAATGGCCTCTGGACTCCCCAAAATGAAAGGAATAGAAAGTACCAAGCTCAAATGGTGGAGATGGCATTGTGCAGTATCTTTCTTGATCAACATCAAAGTAGATGGAAGGTCGTCCGCCGAAGGAAATCCAATGGACGGAACCATTGCAATAGACTCCATGTTCGAATTCCACACTTAATGGTGCCTTGAATGGATAATGGTGATCACCAATATTGGGTTGTGGCCCCCGCCAGGCATGGGTTTCTGAGGAATAAATATGCACTTGACACGAATAGCCATAACCACTTTCAAGTAGTGAATTTTGAAAGAAAACAACTTTGTAGTGAAGGGATTTGGAAGGATCAAAAAACAAATATAAATAGTCGGGAGGATAAAGTTGAGTGAAGAAAAAAGGCCAGGGAAGACTAGAGAGTCGCTTGGTAGTAGGATTGCAAACATGGTAAGAGGTGTCGATTAAATTATTAGACTGCTTAGTTAAACAGCATAAGAGTAGAAAACCATTACAAGAGTGTTCTATGGTTGTAGTACTTGTATTCATATTGAGAGCCAGTGACTTGTTTTCATCTCCGCCATTAATGAGAGGAATGTATTTCGTGAATTTAAATGGGGATTTATCGGTTAATTCAGAGGTTAAGAAAAGGCCGGAGATTTTGGGATCATGGAATTGTTGATGCTGCTGCTGTAGCCAGTGGAGGAGAGAGAAGCGACGACTGGAGATGAGAAAGAGCCATTCTTTAGAGACTGACCTGAATCGAAGGAGGGATTTCGCCGGCAGACGCTGAAGGATCTCCACCACCAGGTCGGCGTTGCTGCGGATGATTTCAGCGGCGACAGAAATTTGGTCCGCCGACGACGGTATCTGCGCATTATTCCGCTGGCACCTTTTAAAGTGAGAAGCCATTCATCCAACAATTTCTTCTCTGATCTCTCAAGCTTAACGCCTTTCGATCTCGAGCGGACGCGTTTGGATCTCACCTTTCTGCTACCGCTTGCCTTGTGACCTTATATAGGCAACGAAATCAAAACCTAATAAAACACTGACTCTGAGGGTCAGTTTGGTAGGATGGGTTTGAAGGGAAAGGGAAGGGAAGGGACGGAGGGTAATAAAAAAATTGTGTTCGGGTAAAGTTAGTGGAGGGAAAGGGAAGGAGAGGGAGGGGTTTGGAGGGTTATTTATAAGTAACGTACAGTAATTTTTTAACCTTCCAAAATTGGGAGGATAAAGAAGGAAAGGGCAGGCAATGGCATACAAAATATTTATTAGGCCAATTTTACCCTCAAATTTGCTCTTCATATTAGGGCCTGTATTCAGCGCGGGAACAAAGGAAGGCGTATATTCAGCGCGGGAACAAAGGCGCCAAAATTCACTGGTATAAGAAGAAATAGGAGAGAGAAAAGGGGGAAGTGGGTTCACGTATGGGAGAGAGAGAAGGGGAAGTGGGTTCACTACATAGTCTCTGTGCCGGAGGAGGAAGTTGATGATAGAGATAGAAGGGAAAGGTTTGTAACGGCTCCTTAAATTTCCTAAATCCATGCTCTCGGCATCTCCAAGAAGAGCCGCCTCCAGAAATAGGTTGAGCCGGCTCCTTTATTGGCCTGCATACACCAACTCTCGGGATTTCTCAAATGCCCAAGAGAGCCGGCTCCAGCAACTACTTGAGGCGGCTCCAAAAAAAATGTGGAGCCGGCTCCACTCATCTACATCCTTCCTATTTCACTCGGCACCTCTCAAAAACCCATAAGAGCCGGCTCCATGATCATGGTTGAGCCGGCTCCCTTCAAGTGTCCTATTCCCATTATATCTCGGCACTTCCTAATTTGGGGTCATTATTGAAACATTCCAGAGAGCAAACTGACTTAGGAGACTTCATCTTGCTTTGGGCGAATTCTTCCATATGATGGGTTCCTTCACTGGTATGTTAAATCCATGAAATTCCCTCTTCAATTTATATATATTCCTGCTCTTAATTTTTAGTCGAAATTAGCACAAACATAATTCACTATAGAATCTTTTGGTGTCTTTGATTCTTTTCAGTTGAAGATATGGTATTTGCAAGAAATTGGTGGATCTGTATGTTCTATCCACTTCATGCCTTGGGTTGTTAAGTTTTTTTTTTTTTTAAATAAAGTCAGAAAGAACCTAACTTACTGTTTTATGTTGTTGATTATCATTGATTACATTTGTGATCAAACCCCTCTCACCCAAAAAAGTAAGAAGCCAAATTTAAAGATTAAATTAATGATCATTTTTTTACTTTTCTCTGTTGCTACTTGCTTGAAGGAAGATCTAGTAATTGGGAGCCTGCTCTACTCATATTGGAGCCTCCTCTACTTAAAGTAGAGCCTGCTCCATTCATATTGGAGCCTCCTCCACTTTTACTTGAGCCGGCTCCTTTTATAAGATTTGATACATTAAAGAAGATCTACACTAAACTATATTGAGGAGACTATAGTTTAAGCAACCATCATTGGGTACAAATGCAGCGATCTTCTTCCCATTCTTAATCAGTTGCACACGAGCAGATTTTCTCATGCCAGAGTTGGGCTGCTTAGCCTCAATACCACTGCATAAATTAGTTAAGTGCTGTTGAGTTTTGAAATATTGATTTGGAAAGAGAAGATGAATGTGGCATTTGCTACCAAACTGAGCCTTAGAACCGAATCTTGGGGCAAAAATATTGTTGCATATTTAAATCTAAAAATTTATCTTTTAAAATATATAAAGGGCATAATAGTAATTTTTTTATTATTTTTCCCTTTCCTTTCTTTTCTCAAACATGATTGTTATCCTTCCCTTTCTTTTCCTTCATTAATCAACCAAACACGATTGAGGATTAAACTTATCCTTCCCTTCCCTTTCCCTTATAACTAATGTTATCCTCCCCCTTCAAACCCATCCTACCAAACATAGCCTGACTGACAGCTTACGACCGAATGGTTTGGTTCGGTCTTTTCGGATCCAACTTCAAATTTTATAAAGGAAAATGATAAAGGGCCAAAAATATATATACACACAAATAAAGGGAAATGTGAAAGTTTGCCTAAAACCTTTTAAAATTTCGAGAATCAAAACCTTTTAAAATTTTGAGAATCTCAAGACCGGTGTTAACACGAGAGTGAGTTAAATGGTAGACTAGCTATTCAATACAAAATGGTAGACTAGCTATGCAATTTCTTATTGACTTGCTTAAAAAGCTAACAAATTCACTAAAGTTATGTTCACCAAATATACAAATTTTGACATTTTAAATCAAAAATAATATTTCATATGAACATTTGTATGAATTAAATACTTCAAGTCTACAAAAAACATCCAAGGAATATTGTGTATTCCGGAACCATGTCTTTAAAACAGGTCGCATTCAGCTAGGGGTGAGTAACATGTATTACTCGTAAGGAATAAACATGCATAGACCAAACTTTTTATAAGTTTATCACATTAATGTAAAACAATTCATAAGGTTCTTGCCACCTAGCGTGTTTTCAAGCCATTTCCCTTAGCTTTTGTCCTTCCACCTTGAAGACAAAAGCTCCCTCACTTCCTCCTCTACAACACCTTTCCTTGGTTTCACCGTTTGGCCTTATTTGCCCTGAAAAACAATCGAATCTTTCGTGGCAAAGCTACGTCAGATTCTATAAAACCTCTCGCAAGTGAGTAAAACAGCCACCGGCATTGACCTTTAAGAACTTCCCCGTCAAAAACAGTGAAGACCGGAGATCTTGAGAAGATGGTGGGATCTTCGTGGGGGCTAACCTTCCCGATGTAGTTGTCGGCTGCGTTGGTGGGGTCGTCGAAGGAGAGCAAGGAAGATGCGACTGCGGGTGCGGATGCGGAGATCTAGAGAAGATGGTGGGATACGACTGTGATGGACTCCGGCAGTGATGAGGTCAGTGAGTTTGGTTTCAACGACGTGGCGACGGTTGTTTGGCCTGAACCCTCGACGACAAAGTCTGCGTCCTCTTCTTCCCGCCCCTTCCTCTAGCTTCCCCCTCTGCCTTTGTAGCTGAAGGACCATCCTCATCACCGGCGACAATTGCTGGAGCTCCGACGATCTGCGAATCATCCATTTCGTGAATTGAATCATGTAAAGCTTCATCAGAAAATGGGTTTTGAGCTTCCATGTGGAAGCTCAACTTGACTGAAAGAATTGAATTTTTTGTAAAGTTCATTATTGGCTGAGCACAGTGAAAAATCCGCAAATGGTGCATGCATAACAAGTAAATGATGTTCTAGATAGAGTCCTATAAAACATAAAGGCACAGCATATAAAATATTAGGCAACTAAGACATACAGCAGTTCATGGTTTGTACTTCTACAAGAACCAATGAATGATAGGGAGAAGAAATCCCCCATGTCAAGGAAAATAAATGCGCAAGAAAGGCAATTAAAAATTTCAATCACTTTTTATTGTTTGAGACCCAATAGAATAAAAATCCCAATCAATCTAGCATGACACAACTTTTAACTCGGTTGAATTTTCCATTATCTGGATCCCATAACAACATAAAAAATGGGATTCTTAATTTAATTTCTTAAGCCCGTAGTTCAACCCAGATTATCCACGGTCGAGCCCAAAACCGCCGTCACCTGAGCCGCCTGTCACCACCGCTGTGAGATCACCTTCCCCCTTTCTTTGTCACGAAAGATTAGATATTTTTTTTCGGGGATATCTTTTGGTTCTCCTATCACTGCCCCACCCAAATTGATCGAATCAAACTCACGTTAAGTATGGATTAAATTTATACAATAAATAAATAAATAATAATGAGAAGAAGAAGATAAGTCCCACAGTGGAGAAAGGAGGGCATGGATTTGGAAATAAAAAAAAAAAAAAAAAGAGAAAAGAGAAAGGGTGATTATCCAATTAAAACCTATCGATTCAATTTTCTTTTCTTTTTTTTTATAATTTTGTTGATTTTATTATTAAAGCTGATGTATTATTTTTTCTTTTTTTATTGAAACACTTAAGGGCTAGGGATTATCCTAATAAATTATAATTCATTTTATAATACATATGCGCTATTAATTACTCGTATATATATACACGCTATTGGTAATATTCATTAAACCCTAACTATATGTAGCAGTTGGTCCAAAGCGCCTCCCTCAGTCCCTCTGTCTTTCATTTCCATTTCCCAAGCCATTCCTCTTTCAAATCCTCGATACACAGCCTCCAAATCCTTCCTCTGCAGTCGACGTCGTCCCGCCGTCCTCCGTCATCGACATCGGTCTGCAGTCGACGTGAGGTGTCGCTGTCCCGCCGTCCTCGACATCGGTCTGCAGTCGACGTGAGGTGTCGCCGTCCCGCCGTCCTCGACATCAACCTACCGTCATCGACATCGATCTGGTCCGAGGAACTTATTTGCACAGTTTTTAAATTTTATGGACTGAAATGCACATTTTAAAAACAGAGATGTATTTACACATTAACCCTAGAATATTTAGGGTTTTAATTTTATCGCCAACCATTGCTTCGCAGAAACCTCAACAGTTGCGATTGATAAAATTCTCAAGCAGTTGAATCCAACAGAGAAATCTGGAGCGACATAAATATAGGTTCTTTCTCCCTCCTTCCTTCTCCGTGTAATCTTTGTTTTGTTCGGCTTTTATTTCATTGTTAATCATTTATTGCTTCACATATGTTCACACTCAGACCAGTTGCGACTGATAAATTCTTAAGCGGTTGAAGCGACACAGTACACGAACCGAGGTTCTATCCCCCTCCCCTCCCCTCTCCTCTCTGCGTGTGTTTGTGTGACGTTATTTTGTGTCATTAAGTGTTTTAATTTTATACTTTGCCTATTCGGAACTGTTACTAGCAGGATTTTATGAATTAAAATTGCATTATTGTATTAAAATGGATTTGATCGATTATACAGGTTTATATCTTATACCTTGCATATGTTAAATCTTCGGATCTGTTCAACTGATCATTTTATTATTTAAAATTGTACTACTCTTTAACATTAATTTGATTGTTCTGAAAATATTGCTTTCTTGATTGAACATTTACCGTGATGAGAACATTTGCCCACCTAGGTTTATATATTGTTGGTCATTACATTTAGATCAACCATTAAATGTTTGGAATTGTTCAAAAACCTAGCCGGACCTTATAAATTAAAATTGCATTATTGGTTGAAATGGGTCTGATTGTTATGGTGAACTGAATTTTGTATTCCAGGTAGACATAATGAATGAACCTGAGGTAGACCCCAGATGTGGTTTGCGTGCACCGGCAAGATGGCGCATGTGCCCTCGATTGGTCTCAATTGGGTTAAAAGTTTTTTACTTCCCTCAAGGGCATGCTGAGCATCTTTGTGCTCAATTTGAGGGGATTTATGATGTTCCATGTATGATCTGTTGTAGCTGTTGTAGAGTGTCAACTGTGAAATTTGTTGCCAAGCCCACAACCAAGGAAGTATATGCAGCAATTGGATTGGTTCAGTGTGATGAGGCTGAAGAGGTGGCAAATACAAACATTAACGTAACACCGGATATGGACCGAACTGTCTCACGACGTTCTGAATCCAGCTCACGTACCGCTTTAATGGGCGAACAGCCCAACCCTTGGAACATACTACAGCCCCAGGTGGCGAAGAGCCGACATTGAGGTGAGGTCATTCCATTTTGACAAAAGACCCACACCCAAGTTCCATAGCCGCTATCCCGATCATGATTCCCCTACCCCCAGAGGGAAAGGTCCTTCCCTTTTGGTCCGGTTGTGGGCGAGGAGGGATTCGAACCCCTGACATCGTGGTTCGTAGCCACGTGCTCTAATCCTCTGAGCTACAGGCCCCACCCCGTCTCCACTGGATCTGTTCCCGGGAGTATCCGCCAAAGAAAGCCTTTCTCTATATATCCCGAATCTCCCTCTTTGGAACGGAGGCCTTTCGCTTGCAATTTTAATGGCGGACTTGAAGCTCGTGGACAATACTTGACCAACTCAAAAGGTCCTTCCTCTTGCTGCCTTATGCATTTCTTTAGTAATTGATGCAGCCCTGCTGATTTTTTTTGCAATCCTACAAAGAGAGTATCATCTCCTAGCTTCATAAATACAATTCCTGTTTTTTCTTTTTCCGTGTTTAAAATTCCTGATAATCCATTTGCGAGGTATTATCTTCTGTTGAATTCATTTTAGGACTAGTGACATACATGAGAATATTTCGGGTTTTAAAGAAAAAGAAAAGAGTCTATGTCAGTAGCCCTAAAATGAATTCAGCATAAGATAACGCCTCTCAAATGGAATATATGGAATTTTAAACACGGAAAAAGAAAAAAGAGGAATTGTATTTATGAAGCTAGAAGATGACACTCTCCTTGTAGGATTGCAAAAAAAATCAGCAGTGAATAAATGCACAAGGCAGCAAGCGTAAGGCCTTTTGAAGTCAAGTATTACCCACGAGCTTCAAGTCCCGTCATTTTGGATCCATGTGTCAGCTGTCCGCAAGTCAATGCAATTTGATTGGAAGCTAAGTATGAAATTTGAAAAGATGTTCGAAATTGAGGATTCAACGGGAACAAGGTCGTTTAGTGGTACTGTGTCCTCAGGTGTCTGGCATTCACTTTGGAATTATGTTGAGGTATTTTAATTCAATCCTGTTTGTTTTAGCTTTAGTATACATTTGGTCTCCGTATTGTATCTTCAAGTGACTGATTGTGCAGGTGACATGGGATGATCCCATTCAGGATGAAGAATATGTGAATCCATTGGAGATAAAACCACTACTTCCTCCCAACAATCTGTCAACTTCCACACCACAAGGGCCACAAGGCCCTAAGAGTATAAAATCTCCTCAAGTACAATTGTGCAGGCAAATTTCGGCCGAGGTTCAAACATTCACTTGCTGAGAAGACCAAAGGGAGGAAGAAAGCCTACATGAAGCCGATGGTAAGTGCTATCTATTAATTTTATTTTCCTTTGAAATATTCTTAAAGTTCATAATAGAATGGATGATTGTGATTTGTAGGTCTAAGACTTTTTTCCCCCTCTTTATATTCTGGTTCTATAAACGAATGCATGAAGTGATGCGATCCTTCTTGGTACCGAGACTTTGCATGTATTGTACCCAGTAGAGACTATTTCTATTGCTGGTAAAATTTGTGCCGAGGTAATCTTTTCCTTGACGTTGCTACTCTAATAATCTTTTAAAAACTTGTTTCCAATTTCAAGTCTTATAATTTGTGCAACCTTACAATGTGCATCTTTACCAGTTCATTTCCTTTTGTCATTTGTGGTTCTGCTGTGTTGGTTATCTGGCACTAGTCTTAGTACTAATTTCCTGTTTTGTTGGGTCTAGATGTGCTTCTCATGGTTCAACTAGTAAGATGGTTTTATTTACATTTCAGTTTTGAAAGACGTAGCTATATAGGCGTACCCTCTCTTCAATTTGTAATTTCCTTTTTATCTAATGGATGATGTCCCTTTCTTAAAGGTGATAAATAATACATCTACCTTATTAAATCTCTCAATCGATCCTATATTCATTATAGGTCTATGTTTTAAAGTATTATTTTCTATTTGAAACATTTGATGAATTCCATATTCGAAGTTGCTATCGCTTTTGCGCATGCAAAAGAATCAATTTAATAAATTTCTTATGTAACATGAAAAGTTGTCTACCCGTTGGAAACTTATGTTTAGTCTTCAGGTCATCACCCACTTCACAATATACATTTTTTGTGTTGTGCATTTGTAATTAGAATTAATTTTATAAATCATTTGTAGTAAGAAAAATTAAAATTTAGAAAGTGGCCGAACCAAATATGTTGGTTATGTTAGTACATATATATCCTCTACTATTATGAATTGAATATGATCTATTTAAGCTTATATATTATATTTTTGTATTATACATACTGAATTTCTGACCAATTCGTATAATTTTGCTAAAGTTTTTCATCGACATTTCCTTTACTTTTCAAGTGTTGTATAAAATTGCAGTACATGTACTGATATATAGATGGGATGGTTAGGTTAGCAACTGGTCCTTTTGTAATACACACGCATGCATGAATCTTGATCTTCGAAGATATATGCTTATCTGTGGACGGATGCCTAATGAATGCTTGTACTTAAATTCCGATCTACATGTACATGCAAGAAGATAAAACAGAAAACAATTAATTTTGAAAATTACAAGTTTGTTTGACAGTTTTCTCAAAAAATAAATTAAAAAACTGTCTTTTGTAATTCTATGAAAATTGTATCTGTTTTTTCAATATGATATTCTAAGCATTTAAAATTTTGTCTCCTTGCCAATCTTTGTTACAGATATTATTCTTTTCATTTTTGTTAGTTAATTTAATTTTCACGTTAGAATGATAGTGATATAAATCATAGCAAATACACCATCTTAAGTATGTGCATAAATGAGAACATTAACACACATTGCACACACAAAAACATGCGATAAACGCACGTGCGAGCATGCATAATTATACACATAATATATAAGTATATGCTCAATCCCCCCATTTTGAAGTAATTATAAGATTGTAATCTCAAAACAGCAGAGAACATTTAAATTAATGGAAGAACAGCCAGAAAGGGCAAGACCTAGGGATTGGGGATGTTTGAACAATATTATACAGAGTAGTTTAAGGGCATGGTTCAGTTCCTGCAATCTAGGCAACTAAATTAATAAAAAAAAATGATAAAATTGGTTTTAATATAATAATCATGTATATGTGGAAGCCCATAACTATACTTAGAGACTACAAATGGGTTTTAGAATATAATATGGTAACTCCTTCCATGTCAGGTTTAGTGTCTTATCAAGGGCCTTGTGGTTTAGTGATATCAACTCTACTTCCCGAAGTGGATGGTGAGGGTTTGAGTCCCTAAAGGGACAAAGTGGGTGGATATGTGTTTCTTGCCAATGATGAAGAATATAAAAATGGTTCGTTGTTTTAAATAGCTTGACAGTATGAATTACGAGCGTATAGATTAACTGAAGTTAAGGTTTTAGATAAAAATAAATTGACGAAATATGATTTATATAGCTGGTCAAAATATGGGATAAGGATTAATGGGTGTTAGCCCAGCTGGTATGATATCTCTTCCCAAAGGTAAAAATCGAATGTTTGAGATTTATTAGGGACAATATGATTTAGATAAAAATAATTGACGAAATATGAGAGACAATATGACATGTTGAATTTCTTGCATATTTCAAATGCATGATTTATTAGTAATCTTGTAATTAATTAGTTATCTTTTGTGATGTTAAATGCAGGTGGTTATGGGACTCTTGAAGAGCTACTTGAAGTGATAACAAGGGCTCAACTTGGCATACAAGATAAACCTGTAATTCTTACTTCTGCTTTCTCAGATTCTGTTGGATTGTTGGTGATTTTCTTCTAAAATTGCTTTTGAATCTGCTTTTACCATGTCAACTCTATTCGATGTTATTAAATATATGTTTTTTTTTTTCTGAAGTTCTTGCACATTAACAATCTTGTAATTAAGGAGTTAACTTCTGCGAAGTTAAATGCAGGTTGTTATGGGACTCTTGAAGAGCTACCTGAAGTGATAACATGGGCTCGTCATACAAGATAAATCTGTAATTCTTACTTCTGCTTTCTCAGGTTCTGTTGGATTGTTGGTGATTTTCTTTCTAAAATTGCATTTGAATCTGCTTTTACCGTGTCAACTCTTTTCTATGTTACTAAATATATGTATCATTTTACCATTTTTGCAGGTCGAATTGCTGAATGTAGATGGATACTACAATTCACTGCTGTCATTTATCGAAAAGCTGTGGAAGAAGGTTTCATTTGCCTAAGTGCACGGCATATCATTGTATCTGCACCAACTGCAAAAGAGTTGGTGAAGAAATTAGAGGTAACATAAACTCATCATCACAGTTGCTTTTTCAGTTGGATTCTTTCATCTCCTTTGAAATTTATCTAAGAAAATAATTGATGCATACAGTTGCTGAAATAGTTTAGTGCTTGTCCTGCTCTAGAAAAGGAGAAAAGATTGCTTACTCTGTTTGTTCCATACCAGAAATGTTCAGAAATAAAAAAATCCATTTGTTTCGGGCAGTAATTAGCTCAACTTGATTGCTTCTTATGTCATTGGACATTAGAAACCACAAAACATGATTTCCATGTTATGTTTAGTGTTATATCATCATACATCAAGTCCTAGATCTTATCAAGGGCCTCGAGGTTTAGTGGTATCTCCTCTACTTCCCGAAGTGGATGGTAAGGGTTCAAGTCCCTAAAGTGACAAAGTGGGTTGGTGTGTGTTTCCTGCCAATGATAAAACAAATATAAAAATTGTACGTTCTTTTAAATAGCTTGACAGACAATGTAAAACTTTAACGTCACCTATATGATTCTTTGAATATGAATATGCATGAATTGCGAACGTATAGATTAACTGAAGTTAAGGTTTTAGATAAAAATAATTTACGAAATAAGATTTATATAGCTGATCAAAATATGGGTTAAGGATTAATGGGTATTAGCCCAGATGGTGTGATATCTCTTCCCTAAAGTCGAAATCGAATGTTTGAGTCTTATTAGGGACAATATTATGGGTGTCCATATTTTAAAGGATGGGGACAGCATGCTTGGTGAATTAAGGGGTGGGATGATATTGGGAAGGGAATGGCTTGTGAATTTAAAATAAAATGTTTCCTATGCATACAACAAGTGTTGTCGTGTAGTACTCATGCATTTAGTAATACCCATCACAATTTCCATTCTTAACATTTTTGTTTAATAAAATGTTACCTTAACTTGTAAAGTTCTGAATCATAAAGGGAAAAAAGCTAAGTTCATATGTTAAAGGATTGTTGAAAAGGAAATGGATGCTGGATATGTTTAGTGACAATGGGCAGATTAATTGAATAATAATTAATAACAAAATAATTTTTGCCACCACTTTGTCTTGATCCCAATTTTTTTGTCAATTGAATTGGAAACCAGATTTTATTAGAAACTCAGATTTTGGGATTTTGGAGAGTTTGTCAGTTAAAATGACATTCCTAATTAATGGCATGGTTTGTTCCAGTCTTTGACTCTTCGATTAGCTCATCAATTAGTAGACAATTGAGGTGAGTTCTTACCAGTTTCATACCCACATTTTGGTTCTGAATACCTCTCGATTTAAAAGACAAGGAACGCGAGCTCAGTAACAACACAATGAGTCAGCGTATCAGAAGTTTAGAGTTACAAAGGCGATTGATTTGACACTGTATATTGGAAAATTTCAGTTTTAAGGGGCATATAAGATGGAGGAGTGGCTATAGAAGATTTTTTTTTTTTTTTTTTTGATAAGTAAAATGTAATAGAAGGCGTTCAAAAGGGGAACGCGTCCCAAGCTATACAAAAAAGGACGGAACCTATGATCTCAAAGAGCCCAAAAGGTCCACAAGATCCTCAATAGAGGAAAACTCTCTCCCCCAACCCCAACAAAAAAGAGAACAAATAATAGAGAATTTCGACACCCCAATGGAGGACTCATTCCCATCAAAAGATCTTCTATTCCGTTCTTTTCAAATGCTCCACCAAACACTAAAAGGGGTTATCCTCCCGAAGACTCTCGCTTGAGCCCCCACCCATTGGCCCATCCAAATGTCCAGCAATTCCGGAAAAGTCCGAGGCCTGACCCAATGAATACCAAACAAATCAAAAATGAGGCTCCAACAATCATAAGCCACTGGACAATGCAGCAGCAGGTGATCTACTGACTCCCCATTTAACTTACAAAGACAACACCGATTAACAATAATATGTCTTCGCTTCCTCAAGTTGTCCAAGGTCAAAATCTTACTCCAAGGTGCAGTCCAACAAAAATAGAGTTGAATGTTTATATGAAAACAGGTTTTGGTAAATAAAGGGGAAGTTCTGTGGCACTGGGTAATTGTGAATTTTAAAACTCCTATGATTTATATATTCCATTACTTGAAATAGTATTTGAAATTGATTGTCATTTTCTAAGAGGCAAAATAATGAGTCAGTTTGTACCTATGCTTAATTTATTCAGTCAATTTGACATTGATTGTCATATTCCATTACTTGAAATATGTATTTCAAAAAATTCTTAGTCTAGTATTTTAAAAATGAAGTGATCTCACACACAATAATACAAGCCTTGGATTTAAGTCTTTAATTATCACTGTATGTGTGTGGTTCACGCGTTCTATTGCGTGTTGGGATATAAGTGCTACATATATGTGTGTATGGTTCACACGTGACGTAACGTATATATATATATATATATATACACAAGCATGGTGAGGACACACTAAAGAATGGTCAAGCAGAGGCATTACTAGTTGATTCATGTATTGTTCTGTGACTCGTATTTGATATATATATATATATATATATATAGAGAGAGAGAGAGAGAGAGAGAGAGAGAGAGAGAATTGAGAAGCAGGTTTTTCCTCCTTTCTAGTTTGTGGTAAAGATACATACATATATATATATATATAGAGTGATAAATCGAGGATTTAAGTCTTTAATTATCACTGTATGTGTGTGGTTCACGCATTCTATTACGTGTTGGGATATAAGTGCTACATATACGTGTGTATGGTTCACATGTGACATAACGTATATATATATATACAAGCATGGTGAGGACACACTAAAGAATGGTCAAGCCGAGGCATTCCTAGTTGATTCATGTATTGTTCTGTGACTTGTATTTGATATATATATATATATATATATATATATATATAGAGAGAGAGAGAGAGAGAGAGAGAGAGAGAGAGAGACTGAGAAATCGAGATAGAAAGAGAGAAATGGAGCGAGAGTGTGAAATGAAGCATTTAATATTCAAGAGGATTTGTGTATTGTGGGAGTAGCCAAGGAAAGAAGAGTAGCTATCAGGATTAGGGTTGCAACTTGGGTTGTCCCAACCCAGTCTAGTCCCAACCTAACCTCAATCCGAAGCGGGTTGGGTCTGGTTGACGGGTTGGGTTTTTTTTTTTTTTTTTTTTTAAATTTTATTTTAAGAAATTTTTTTTTTGAAAATATATATATATAATATATTATCTTATATATATAATATATATTTGATTATATTAATAAAAATGCTACCGACTTATTGAAATACTGTGTTGGGGTTTCATGGAATTGTTCGAAACTTGTATAAAATTATAATTTGCAAAAGACACTGGACATGTCACTTTTAGTAATTATTTTTCAATGATAAGATTCAAATTAATATGAATAACTCATTCAACATAGATTTATTAAAAACTATTTTTGAAAAAAAAAATCAATGGATTATATTTGTAAAAAAAATCTATTAGATGTGCCTAGAAGAAAATTTAAAATACCTCCAAATAACTTTTAAAATTTTCTTAAGTCTATATATTTTTAAAATTAAGAAGGAAAAGAAAATCTAAAATAAAACTGAATTTTATTAAATTAACATTAAGGATATTTTTATCATTATAACTTCACATCAATAGTGCGTAATTTTTATTTTTTTTAAAAAATCTATTTTTGGAAATTAAAAAGAAAACATAAAAGGGAAATTATATTAAAAAAAAAAACTTATTCTTAAATTTTTATTAAGGGGCTATTATTATTACTCACTCATAAAAAAATAATAATAATAATTATTATTATAATATTACTAATCATAGCATATCAAACAATTCATCTTCACAATCACCGTAAATATGCCTCCACCACCACCGCCATCATTTCAGCCTCCCCTATCGCCTCCATCTCTCTTCTCTCCTCTCTCCTCTCTCTCTCTCTCTCTCCAACTGCAAATTACAAAATCTACAAGAATCAGAAGTTCAAAACCCATATATTTCAGATTGTTCAAAAAATCAAAACCCAGATCTGCATATCATTTTAGATTGTTCAAAAAATCAAAACCCTGATCTTTCAGTTTCCATCGCCCGCTGTTCCAGTTCGGAATTTGAATGGCATCAGCTGCGATATTCTCGTCTCTCCGGCGGAGGAGGTCGCCGTCTCTGGAGGCGTTCCTGGCACCGGTAGATCTCGCCGCTGTCTCTCAACTCTCAAGCTGTGGAGAGAGAGAGAGAAAAAAAAAAAAAGAAGGGGGTTTCGGGTTGAGCCCGAATCCAATCCGAATATGTCTAGGTTTTGACAAAACCCAACCCAAACATGAACCCGATTTGTGAATTTAAAGCTCAATTTTTAAAATTTCGGGTTGGTCATGGGTTGGGCTGGGTTAGCCCGCCCAAGTTGCAGCCCTAATCAGGATGCTGCAATTGAACTTGGCATGGTATTGGTACATAATGGCCCTTTTTATGTATGTGTTTTGCTTGAATCAGTACTTGAAATTTACTTAATCTTCCTGTTAATCTGCTTGTAAGTATTTTCATGAGCTTTTTCATCTCTATTGATGCCTTGAAATGGGACATTCTTGTCGGTTTCTCTTCTAAATTCTCATTCAAATGTGCTGGTTTTTTTTTTGTTTGTTTGTTTGTTTGTTTGTTTTATTTGTAGTTATTTAAGCAAACCCTTTCATATTAGCCATGACTTAGTTCAGCAGTTCTGTTATTTAACAGGACTAGCTCTCTCTCTCTCTATATATATGTGTGTGTGTGTGTGTGCGCGTGCGTGCGTGTGTGCGTGTAATGTGTGTGTTTGTGCGTGTGTACTATATCATGTGAAGCTATATTCAGTGCTTCAAGTTACTTTCTCTTATTTGAGATGGAATGTATATGCTTTTCAGTTTTTATTCATTTTTTCCACGCTTATCTTACAATCTTAAAGGTTTTTTTTTTGGTATAGTAATTTCAAATGGGTTCATCATACCTACCTCAAAATTTATATTTTTAATCCCAAAAAGATAAAAATTAATATATTTTTTTGCTTATATTCACTGTTTGGGCTGATTTGACCTTTGTCTGTTGAAGTTGTCAAGGAACATTGATCTGGTCTATGGAGGTGGTAGCATAGGCCAAATGGGGTTGGTTTCACATGCTGTTCATAATGGTGGTCGGCACTTTATTGGTGAGCTTCCTTCTCCTTCGTTATTCCTATCATTTGTATCCTCAAAACTCTTAGAAACAAACAAAGTGACTATGAAATTGTTGGTTGTTTTTACTTTACAACTAAATTTTGTCATCTTATTGTTCTCTTGCAGAGTTATTCCCGAGATGCTCATGCCTTGAGAGGTATGTCTGCTATACACAGAGTCTTTAACCTTCCTCATAAGATTAACTAATTAATAAAAAAAACCCATTAATCTACTAGTACTATTTTTAATCACTTTTCTAATTATATGGACAGAGTTTAGTCCTGTTTCATCCTTTTCTGCATTCCTTTTCTTTTTCTTTCACTATATGATTATATCTAGCTATTTCCTTTTATATTAATACTTCCATTTAAAATATCGGTTATGGTTTTAATATATATATATATATATATATATATATGTATATATGTATGTATATATATATGTATATATTGCTTCTCTGCTACTGTCTCTCTCCCTCTAGTACGTGTACATATTGTGGGTTAAAATGAGTGTGTGGAGAGGGAGTTCTTAAAGTAATGTGATTTTTCCCCCTTTTTTATTGTGTGTGTCAGTGTGTGTGCGTGCTTGCGAGCGTTTGGTGCTTGATTGCCTTTATCCATGGTACCGTTGGAAAGCTGGCATCTTACGACTTCTATATAAATATTAAGTTTCAAATGCTCCCTCTGATTTATTCCTTTTTTGTTTCGTCTTTGTTGGATGATCAGTTCAGCCATCAGTATATCCCTCTTGTTCTCTTTCTTCTAGGCTTTTTGCTAAGTTGCATATTCTTTTTGTATATATATCCCTCTGGTGTTATATGAACCATTGGCTCTGGAGTTAGCTGAGCCTATCTAGTCTAAGTCCGCCATTCCTGTAAGTCTCATCATTGCTGCACTGCTCAAGTGCGTAACACTCCAAACAATTTCTCTCTATATATACAATACACACACCAATACATACATACATATAATATATATGGATTTAAATTTTATAATATTTTTTCTACTTGGGTTTTGGGTACCCTTTTGCAGTTGATTGGTGAAATAGTAGGGGAAGTGATGTTTGTTGCAGATATGCATCAAAGGAAAGTAGAAATGGCTAAGCATTCTGATGCTTTTACATGCCTTGCGAGGTAAGTCTTATCCTCCCGAGTTCATTTCTTTTTTCCCATTTGTCCTTTTTTGGGAAAGGCATGTAGGGGCAAACTTGTCATTTTAGTATTAATATGCTACACCTTATTCCCCCATCTGTGAAGAGAAAAAATTCAAATAAATACTAAATGTATATTAAATGATGGTATGAGAGACAAATGGAAGGTACTGAGCTGTAATTCTGAAGTTCTTTGCACATTTCAAATGCATTATTTATTAACAATCTTGTACATAAGGAGTTATATTCTGTGATGTTAAATGCAAGTGGTTATGGGGCTCTTGAAGAGCTACTTGAAGTGATAACACGGGCTCAACTTGTCATACAAGATAAATCTGTAATTCTTACTTCTGCTTTCTAAGGTTCTGTTGGATTGTTGGTGATTTTCTTTCTAAAATTGCATTTGAATCTGCTTTTACCGTGTCAACTCTTTTCTATGTTATTAAATATATGCATCATTCTACATTTTTGCAGGTCGGATTGCTGAATGTAGATGGATACTACAATCCACTGCTATCATTTATCGACTAAGCTGTGGAAGAAGGTCTTGTTAGTCCAAGTGCACGGCATATCATTCTCTCTGCGCCAACTGCAAAAGAGTTGGTGAAGAAATTAGAGGTAACATATACTCAACATCACAGTTGCTTTTTCAGTTGGATTCTTTCATCTCGTTTGAACTATTTGTCTAAGAAAGTAATTGAAGCATACAGTTGCTCAAATAGTTTAGTGCCTGTCCTGCTCTAGAAAAAGGAGAAAATATTGCTTACTCTGTTCGTTTCCATTCCAGAAATATTGAGAAAGTAAAAAAATTCATCTGTTTTGGCCTGTGATTAGCTCAACGTGATTGCGTTTTTGTATGTCATTGGATATTTGAAACCACAAAACGTGATTTCCTTTCACAATTGATGCATAAACTTATGGTCTGAAAAGATTCATACAGGTAATGAAATGGTTTTACTTGTGCAGTGGATTAATCTTTTTTTTTTTTTTTTTTTTTCTTCCCGAAAGTAATTAGTCTCGTTTTCGTATATGTGTTGTCTCAGGAGTATGTTCCCCACTATGAATGAGTTGCCTCGAAGCTGAGCTGTTCCCCGCTGTGAACGAGTTGCCTCGAAGTTGAGCTGGGGAGATGGAGCAACTTAGCTACCCCCAGCAATATGTTAATTGTTGGTTTGACACACGAATTTTGATCATAAACTCCCAGTCTATTTTAGAAATTAACCCTAAAAATATATTAGCATAAATGATAATTGTTGTTGTAATGACTTGGGATTAAGTATCATAGTAGGAAATCAGATTTGTATTATATATTTTAAACTTTTCCAACAGAAATAGTGTTAAAGAGCATCTCTTTTAAAATCTCTTATTCCAAATCCTGGATCACAAGAAAGCAAAACTGAGGGCAGATTGAACGTGGTACTTAATCCTGGATACCTACCAGTCAGAGTTAACATATATTATTATTATTATTATTTTGTCTCAAGGCAAGAAATGTTGGAATTAAATTAGTACGATACTGTATTTTCTAATTTTTAAGGTAAAATTATTTTCAAATTTTGGTCATAAACTCTTGAAACGGTTTTAGAAAACTATTTATACGTGATCACATTGCCCTTTCATTAAGTTGTTAAATAACTAAATTAACTTATGATATACCACTATTTAAAGAAAACAAAATTGATATTTTACGAATTACTAAAATAGCCTTTTAGACATTAGATCTCTTTTTGCTGTTGTATCAGCCCAAATCTCTCCCCTCTCTTCTTGTATGCGTTTGTGTGATATATATATTTATATAAAATGGCCTGTATCTGTATATATAAATGAGTCTATATATATATATAGAGAGAGAGGGAGAGAGAGTGCAATACCTCAACTACATTTGTATTTTTTTTAAAAATAATTTTTAATTTTAAATTTATCATTAAATAGTAAGGTCATACTTGTAATTTCACAACCCGATTAATGGGAATTGACAGTTTATGATTAAAATTTAAAAGTAGCGGGGTTTTATGAAACACTATTTTTAAAGGGGCTAAAATTATAAAACTTCCTTTTATTTTTAAAAATGTCATGTAACTCCTACAATTATTAAAGAACTACCAAAAAAAACTGAGGTTGTCCCTTTTCGAAATTGTTGCAAATGTCTTTATAATATATTAATATTTTATTAAAATAAAATTATAGTGTGAGAAGTGTAATTTCGTTATTATAAATTATAAGATTATTTTGATTATAAAAGTGATGTAACTATTATACGTGATAATCAAAATATCAAAGAATAATATGATAGTTTTTCTAAGTGAGGAGTTAATTGATAGTTTTATAAAATAAGAGGGGTATGATTTTAGCCTGGTCGTCCGAAGCAGCACTTCGGTTGTTCGGAATGCCCATTCCGGCCGTCCGAAGTGGACCAACCGGTCGACCGATTGTGGTCCTCAAACATGCAAGGCTACTGGAATTTGATTGCAATGTAATCGGTCGACCGAAATGTCCATTTCAGTTGACCGAAATGCCAATTTGGGTTGTTCTACAAGCTGAAACTCTGTTACTGAACTGTTATGAATATGAGAGTAAACAATGGCCTCCTAAGGGACTTTAAACCGAATAAATCTTGTCCCAATACATATAAAATAATATCTCACATTCCATTCATTAAAAAATATGAAGTTACATATTCTTTACATAATCTTAAAGTCATTTACATGAGATAAACCTTAGATACATCAAGTGGTTTAGATTTTTCATATTACAAGACCACAAACTGAAAACAATACAAAATGGTTACTGAGCTTTACAAAAGAACATGGCTCATGTTTCTATGCAAAAGACAACAAGATATGAGTTCCAATCCAGTCTAAGCCTATGATGGATTATCATCCGGCAACTCTTTTTTGTATCATGAAAATGTTAAAGATAAGGGGTGAGCATAAAGCTCAGTAGAAGTCGTCTAAGACGTTAGTTTTGGACTCCTTTAAACCTCGTAACACATAAGGGAACAGAAAAGAAATCGGGGTCATACTATGGGAATTCGTATCACTTTGACAACTTAACAAGCAAGATCATCAGTCATATAATTCAATTTAGCAAATAATATGCATGATGTGAATCATGATGCATCCCATTCCAAATATGGTCTATACCGACCCAACACGCACTTCTCAAAACCCACTAACTAACTTTACCGATGTGAGATTGATATCTATCCCCGGTTCCAAATTTGACAACCGTTATTGGGCATAGTATCAAATTTTTCACGCCCTACATCGGGCCGCGTTCCCTCTAGGTTAAGCTAGCCTCGAACTCGCGAAATTCAGTTCATTTAAATAAAAATAAACTTTCCTTCTAATTCTGCCCAAAACTCCTACTCATACCATGATATGCAATGCAATGATTTTTAACCTTAAATCATAAGTTCATCACTTTAGTGGCATTAATATCATCAAATCATCTTATGAGAGCTAAGTTTAAAGTTCATGGCATACTTTTTAGATTTAACATGGCAAGGACTTCATTTTTTTCTCAATTCAAACATATTCAAGTAATCCTCATATAATAAGATTTAAATAGACCGTTAACACAAGATTGAAACAACTCATGCTTTACATATATAGACATTCACAAAACAACAATTCTTATATCACACGTCATAATTCTCAACATATAACAAAGGAGATAGAAATTTGCTCAAATGGAAAACAAAACTCAGTGCATTAGGGAACCCCTACCATAATTGAAGAGCAAACACATAAGAGCCTTCAAAACAGCCCCAAGAACCCTTAGTTCGAAAATGGCAAGGTGCTCGAAATGATGATCAACTCCGATCAAAAAGTAAGCCTTGTCAAGCTTGTTAACTTTGCCTTCAATGGCAAAGCTGAAATTCAAGTGAAGGGTGATGAATTTGGAGCTTCAAGTGTGTGGTTTTAGAGAGAGAAAAAATTTGTGTAGAGAGAGAAGGAAGCTGCTAATTTTAGAGACGAAAATGGGCTAAGAACAATACTTATAAATCATTCTTTAACATGGTGAAATCTTATAGAGAAGGAAGGGAACAAATATCTCACATTTTCTATACTTAAACTAACACAATACCACCACATAATAACATGTAACCACATAAAAATGCATCAAATAAATACCCAAAATAAAATTCCTGTACTTTATAACTCTAACCACGGGTCCTACCTGGGACTTCCTGGTCCGAAAAATGGAAAAAATGCCGAAATGATAACCATTACATTCCCAAGAGTCCTGAACTCTGAGGAATGCTCCAACCAACTCTCTGACACACCTGGCATACCTCACGGTGTCTGGCACACAAAACGAGAAAAGCCGAAAATACCCTAAAAAAAATCAGAAAATGAAAAATGAAGAAAATAAAAAATATTACAATCTACAACTTCTCTAACCATGGATCCTTATAAATCACTCTCTAATATGGTGAAATCTTAGAGAGAAGGAGGAGAAATATAGAGAGAGAAGAAGAAAAGAAGATGGAGGAGAAAGAGGGAAAGTGACGAATGAAGGGGAGAGTGTGTGTGACATTTCCGATTTTTACCATTTTTAATTTTTCTGAAATTTTGTCGCCGTAAGGGCATTCTTGTCTTTTCTCTTAGTTGGGTCCATTTGCATTTTTTGCATGCTAATTCATGTGAGTAATATAGTATTTATGTGGTAGTGTATTTAAATGTGTTTGTGGTACAAATAAAAGCAAAAGAAAAAGGTATAAGAAAATAAAATGCATGGGACCCACCACCACCAACTTAAAGGTCTTGAGACTAAATTTTGGTCTCTATCTTTCCTCTCCCGCTGGTTCTCCTTCTTCCCTCTCTTACTTGCGTTTTTCTTTTTCTTTGGGAAACTAACTTTAATCTTTGATAACTCTCTCAATCCTTGGAAACTTTGAGTGCCGTTTGAGGCAAAACGGAGAGCACGACGAGCTCTACGCATTGATACCAACAATTTTAGATTTGGTGCTTCCTTTGGCCTTCGAATTTCTTGACCATTTTAAGGGTTTTGCTCCAATTTGAGGTAGAGACTCTTAATCCACAATTTTCTTGCTCCTATGTGAATTACATCTTCTAAATTGTTGCAAGACATACTTATTTGTGCTAGTTGTAGTTTAAAAATAGTTAAAACATGTATATGTGGTTATGTGAGAACTTGTATTAAATGTTTTATGTGGAAAACATGCCTACGTGATGATTTGTATATGTTTGTTATGCTAGATGTATTGTTGTATGAGAGCATGTTGAAATTTCTTGGGAAATTCTTACGAAATTATGCATTGCTTACTTAAATTGAGTTGGTTGTGGAATGATGAGTATTAGCATGACATAAATGCATCTATGCATCTACATTGGGCAAGAAATGGGAAAAATTGACCTTGAAATGAAAAAGGGGAGTTTTGGGAAAGAATGTAATGATGAAAGTATTTTGATAAAACCCGGTCGCTGCGGAGTCACCAACGAGCCGGTAGGTTAATGTAACCTAGAGGGAATTAGGGAGATTGCCCTAGCGTGATTGAGCTATCTGGACCCCATAATGACGCTGCGGAGTCACCAAAGGTCAGGGACAGTAGTCAATCTTTCTCTCGGCGCTGCGGAGTCACCAAAGGGGGTTACATTAACGGTTTGAAAGTGATGGTTTCGAAAATGGGGAGCGACATTGACATGCATTGCATCCCATAGCATTCTATTGTTTATAATGAGACTTGTTGTTATGTTGTGTTATTCCGACAATGTATGATCCCCATTCCGATTGTCCTATTCTTTGGTTGGATTCATAGGGACATAAGAGACGTGTCTTAAGTGTTACCTACTGAGCAATTTGCTCACCCCACATAATTAATATTTTTCAGGTCATGGCAAGGAATTGGCGGATGATAATCCACCACAGAGCTAAGGGAACTTAAGGCATTTTTGAATGTATTTTGTGGGACTTAAACTATTCTTGTAAAGTGCATGACACAAAATGTATTATTTTTGCAATATGTAAAACATTTGGATTTATCATGTATATGGTCATTTGGGTAATGTAATTAAATTTGTATATGTTAATTCTCGTATATCATATAACGTGCGTGTTGTAAATTACGTTATGAAGTGGTGGTTATTATTGCAATTTAATGTTGAAATGTATCTTAGTTTATGTACGTGAGTGTAGTGGAACAGTGGGTGAGGATAACCCAAACCAGTCGACGTAAAACCCCATACGTCGACCGAGTTGTATGAACCAGTCGACGTGTAGCTTCCTATACGTCGACCGGTGTCAGTGGGCTTTTAAACGTGAATGAGCCAAACCAGTCGACGTAAAAATCTTATACGACGAATTACGTAAACCAGTCGACGTGTGGCTCCCCATACGTCGACCGGTATCTTACAGTGTGGTAATGTTGTACACGTTCCAAACCAGTCCACGTGTAGCTTCCCACACGTCGACGGGTATCACCACTGTTTATAACCCAAACCAGTCAACGTATAATGCATATACGTCGACCGGTTTACGTCACATATGTAATTACTAATTAAGTTCTTAAATTACACTTTGGCACCAAGTGAAATTACACGTAATTATTTTCTTTGACCCACTAAAATGCCATAATTATATTTTAACCCCCGAAAGGACTATATTGCCCCAAACCTTATTCTATTTACTATGTGATACAAGTTAATGACCGTTGTACCCTTGAGTCTCAATTTATGGAATTGTAACAAATTACCATTTTGCCCTTTTGGACCTTGTTATTTAAATTTAATGTGAAAAGATTATTTTACCCTTTGATGATTTTGGGTCAGGTAAGGACCCATTTAATGATCCGGATCCATGAGGATTTGGGTCGTTATACTGTGGGTGATGGTGGGGTAATGGTGTATGGTCAAAGGCCCACTCTTGGCCTCACAAAATGTGTGCCTCACATTTGGTCTTCCCATTTGACCAAACAAGTTACCGAACTAGCCTTTCTCTTTTAAAACAAACCCACACATGTCCAATAAAATATCGCTTTCCACTAACTCATCCACATATGCATATATATACCCATATATATGCATAACACCTCAATGACCAAAAATAAATAATGATGTAATAAAAATATATTAGGTCCCATACGACGCGTAAAACGGTGCGCGGAGAATAATTAATAAAATAAAATAACGAAAAATCCTGAAAAATTCGGAACATTACACTTTGCCTTTCATTGAATATCCTTGTTTGATTTCTCTTAAGTTCATTATTGGATGTGAAAAATGTGAATTAAAATGACTATGGGTTAATATGATGAAAACATACTATTAAATGATGTGAAGTTATGATCCTTTTTATGCTAAAAGCATGTATGATATTGTTTTAGAGAATAATTACTTGGAATATAAATGCTAACATGATTTTGGGATGGTGTGAAGTTCTATATTGTGCATGCTTGTAGTTGTTTTTTTTTTAAATGTCATGCTTCTGATTGGATTATGGAAAATGCAATGTTTGCATCGAATTTGTATTTTAAAAAATGCCATGTTGCGTTCATTTTCTAAAGAATGCTATTATTGTCGTATAAATGAAAATGAAGTTAAAATGATGAATTTGATTCATGTGCATGGCATGGCGGGAAATGGATAATGAGAAAGGGCATGTAATGGATTTTTATACAAAGAATCGGATTTCGCAAGTCCAGTGCTAACCTTGACCTAGATGGAGCGCGTGCCAGTTATAGGACACGTAATGTTGATTGCTAGGCCCCAAAATGTTCGTCGGTTAGAGGTCAGGGATGTCTAATCAATATTGCCTCGGTAAATTTGGTTAGCGGTTTTCGGTGTGAGTTAGGGCTGATAGAGACCCAGTTCAGGAACAGTTATGCATTGCATTTTCATGTGCAATTATGATGAGTTGTGTAAATGTTATTGATGAGATTAACTTGTGATTTAAATGCTATAAATTTCCCCAATGTATGATCCCGATTTCTTTTAAACCTTAATGTGTGTTGTGTAGCTTAAGGGAGTCCAAATTAGTGCCTTAGGTATCTTCAACTGAGCCTCCGTGCTCACCCCCTCCATTAACATTTTCTAGGCCACGGTAAAGAGATGGTTGATGACGGACCTCCACAAGTGTAGTTGAAGTTAACGGAATCACTTTTGATATTTTTGTAACCAATGTTTAGCTATGATGATTATTTTTGTAAAATGACTATGCTTTGTTTATTTTGTAAAGAACATTGTATTTAAGACCATAAGGTCTCAAATTTGTAATCTAATTCATTTGGGGTATCTATGCCATATTTTGGGCATGTAAATGATGAAAGTAATTACCATGTTCATACTTTATATATGGTGCAAGCTTTGAGATGTCATGATGTTTAAAGAATTATTTAGATTCAATGCCTGGTTTATGATGGTTTTGATTGCATGATTGCACATTTCTGTGAGTTGGGACAGGGTTATAACGGTCAAATTGACAAAGTTTATGTCCGGGAAGGTGAACCAGGTCAATAGGGGCAAAAGAATTCATTTTTGGAGCATAAGTTATTGTTCACCAGAGAGTTCGTGAATCTACGATCGGTAGCCAGAACCTACGACTGGTCGTGGCTTGTCATGTTACGTGCCGGGGTGCTCATCTAGCACGCGTGGAGGTGTCCAGGGTGTTGGGCGACCGGTAGCCAAAAGCTACGATCGGTCGTCGCTCCCAGACTTAGCCAAGTTTTGCCTCTTTCAGGTATTCTCAAACCCGAACTTTTGTACATCATATCTCTCTCATTTCTTAACCAAATGGGGTCATTCTTGAGTCTAAGTTGCACGTTTTTTAACCGTCTTTCTAATGGTGCAGGTCCCATCCCACAATTATGATTTAAATTGACAATTTTACCCTTATCAACCATGAAGCCCCCGAACGAACCCGAACTTAGAGTTAAGCTCCTCATTTGATCCAAAGTGGCTAGAAATGACCAATGTGACCTCGTTGCGACTCAGATTGCATAGCTGGGGGTAAAATGACTACTTTACCCTTGGGTGTCCCCGGATTAGGTTAGAACTCGGTTAGCGATTCGGACTTCCGAGCTTGGGTTATTACAGTTTGGGACATTATTAAGATACTATTGTAACTATTTTTTGTAGATGAATGAACTTTAATGTAATTTAAAATATACAGGTTAATTGAAAAAGTAATATAAAATTTTAGAAAACTAAAATAACCAATATTAGTTATAAGTTGCAATTTATGATTTTATGCATAATTATTATTTATATACACAGATCCTTATCATAGTCCTATCAGTGTGTTTTTTTTTTGTTTTGTTTTTAATTGATACTCACATCTCCTTTTAAAGAATTGTTTGCACTAAAGACTTGAATTCTCAATAAATTATTTGCACCAAAATGGTCTAATATTAGACCTGATCAGGCCAAATTCTTACCCACCTATGTCAAAATCCCTGAGATTATTTATTTATTATCATTATTATTATATATTTTTGGGTGGTACATGGAATGGCCCCGCAACCCATGTAAGGGAGAGATTTGAATTCAGCCTTTAATTGTTCATCCGACCATGGAACTATATTACGCACCAAGCACGAAAAAAATTTCTCTGGTTTTTTAAAATACAAAAGAGAAAAAAAAAAATCCCGCCTCCAAAATATCACAAGTAGTTTGAAATTTAAAAAGGACGCCAACCATTTATACTCGTATACACGCAGACACCATTGATAAAATTCTCAAGCAGTTGAAGCAACAGAGAAATCTGACGCAGTGGACAAAATCGAGGTTCTCCCTCCCTCCCTCTCTCCCTCCCTCCCTGTGTGTGTTGTTCGTGTGAAATTGATTCGTGTAATCTTTCTTTTGTTCATCGAATATTTAGGGTTTTGATTTTATCGCTAATCATGCTTCGCATGTATACACAGACGCAGAGAGTCGGTGCGACAGTGAAATCTGAAGGGCACTGTAGACAAAATCGAGGTTGTTCTCCCTCCATCTGTGTGTGCGTGAAAATTTGTGTAATCTTTGTTTTTTTCATCGAATATTTAGGGTTTTAATTTTATCCCCTAACCATTTAATGATTCGGATACCTACACACGCATACACATTTAAGTCGCGATTGATAAATTCTTAAGCAGTTGAAGCACACAGTACACGAATCAATGTTCTCTCCCTCTGTGTGTGTGAGACATTGATTTTTATCGTTTAGGGTTTTAATGTTATAGCTTACCTCATCGGAACTGTTCCTGTCAGGAATTTATGAATTAAACTTGCATTACCTTATTAAAATGGATGGATTTGATCAATTTTTTAGTGTTTCTATCTTTTACATTGCGTATCTTAATTCTTTGGAACTGTTCAACTAATCCTGGAAACTAACAGGATTTTATTATAAATTAAAATTGCACTACTCGTTAGAATGAATTTGATTGTTCTGAAAGTATTGCTTTCTTGATTGAACATTTGCTTCTGTGATGAGAGCCTTGGACAAATGCATGAGTTCAACTTAGGTTTCTATACTGTTCATTTAGATGAACCATTAAATCTTCGGAATTGATCAAAAAGTAGCAGGACTTAATAAATTAAAATTGCATTATTCGTTGAAATGGATTGATTGTTCCTGGTGAACTGAATTATGTATTTCAGGTAGACATAATGACAGAACCTGTGGTAAATCCCCAAGAATGGTTTGCCTGTGCCGGGAGGATGGCGCAGGTGCCCTCAGTCGGATCAAAAGTTTTTTATTACCCTCAAGGGCACGCCGAGCACGTTTGTGCTCTATATCGGGCGATTGAAGGAGTTCCAACTATGATTTGTTGTCGAGTGTTAGCTGTGAGATTCCATGCAAATTCCGTCACTGATGAAGTGTATGCAGCACTTGAATTGGTTAGGTGCGATGAGTCAGAAGTGGAAAATACAAACATCAATGCTGCTCATGTCCAAGAAGGACCTTTGTCTGTGAGAGTGTTAACATCTTCTGACATTTCCGATAGCCTCAGTGTCCTAGATGACTGTGTGGAAAATATTTTTCCTAGAATAAATTCACCGTATAATCATGGATCTCAAGTGATCAGCGCTAAAGACATCCATGGGACTATCTGGTGGTTTCAGCATATGCAGATGTTAAACAGAAGGGTGAATATTCTATCTCAAGGATGGAAAATGTACGCGGCTCTCAAGAAGCTTGTTGCAGGAGATGTACACGTTTTCATGAAGGTAAAAGGTGCTGATCCCTTTATAGGGATTGCAAAGAAAGTTTGGAGGTATAAGAGGGCTGCACCAACTACTCAAGAAATGTTAAATGCAGCAAGAGGGGTCCTTTTGTGGTAAGGTATTATCCAAGGGCTTCAAGTCCTCAATTCTGTGTTGACATGTCAGTTGTGCGCAAGGCAATGCGATTTCAGTGGCAGCCCAATATGAAATTCCAGAAGGGTTTTGAAACAGAAGACTCAAGAGGAATAATGTGGTTTAGAGGTACTGTGTCCTCCTATTTCTCGATGAGACGTTGGAATTCTGTCAAGGTATTTTAATTTAATCCTGTTTGTTTTGGCTCTAGTATACCTTTGGTCTTCGTATTGTACTCAGATTAATTTATCTTCAATTGACTGAATGTGCAGGTGACATGGGATGACCCCGTTCGGGAAGAAGAATGTGTAAACCCATGGGAGATAGAACCTATACTATTTTCCAAAAATCTGCCAACTTTCCCACCCAAAGGGCCACAAGTACAACAAGGTCCTGAGAGTAAAAAATCTCGCCAAACAAAATCGTTAGGACGAAATTTTCCAGGTCAAACATCCACATGCCAAGAAGAATACCAAAGGGAGGAAGAAAATCCCCAAGAAGCCGATGGTTAGTTAGTGGATAAACTAATTGTCTGTCCTAGTTGTTAATTGTCTCTCCTACTCAAGATATGAGTTTTCACTTTATAACTTCGCTATTATCATGTCCTTGTGAATCAATTTTCTTCTTTGGTTCTTGGTCAATATGTTCATTTTTATGGTAATCATTTGTTTTCACAATTTTGACCGTGTATATATATATATTTATGGAAGGTCTTGATGTGGTGGTCGATCCAGAAACTGCTGTGCTGATCCTTGATTCAGAGCAAGTAAGTAAATCTGTAATCAGCTAAACTTTATGTTTGCTTAAATATTTTATTATTGGCTCGTTTATCAGTATCATCTGGTATGTAATTATTAGCAAAGAGTGTTGAATGTCATTCCACCCCCCTCCCCCCCCCTCTCCCTCTCTTTCCTTGTCAAGGATGCTACAAAATGCTTAAGCAAAGATAATTTGAGACACTTGTTCTATTCATTTTTTATTTAAAGGGGCATTAAGTGCACCTTTTTTTTTTTTTTTTTTTTGTGTTGATTCCTAGACTTAAGCATAGGGGTGAGTTAAGTTCATAATGCAGTCACTTTGTATTGAACTGAACGGTATGTAATTATTAGCAAAGAGTGTTGCATGTCCTTCCCCCCACCCTCCTGTCAAGGATGCTACGAAATGCTTAAACAAAGAAAATTAGGACACTTGTTCTATTCATTATTCATTTATTTATTTAAAGGGGCATTAAGAGCATTTTTTTTTTTTTGGTTGATTCTTAGACTTGAGCATAGGGGTGAATTAAGTTCATAATGCAGTCACTTTGTATTGAACTGAAGCAAAAGCGTCAGTAACTGTTGGACGGTGTAAAAAGTAATAGTGAACTCCTTTGCTACTTGTACTAGAAAACAAGTTTAATCTTCTTGAGGCCAATCATTTGGTAATTATGTAGTTTTCCATGGAGAGGTTATGCAGGTTTGCCACCAAAGGAATTGTAATTTTGGCCCAGTCAGTCAGTTATCCTTTATTATTGGCAGCAATTTTCTTAATTTTAATATTTGACAATTTAACGGCATTTTTGAAAATAGGATGATGCCTTTACATCTTTGGGAGTGTCAGAATCCTTTAAAATACATCACCTTGAGCATATACAGGAGTTGGAAGTCACTGGCGTTACGGGTTTAACCAAATTGATACATTATACTAGGAGTTATATGTTGAAAAATTCCTATACCAGAGTTAACAGTTTTGAATTTGAAAGCTATTTTGCTGATATCCACTAAGCCTCCCATTCTCGCTTTTTGGCTGCTGCGAAAACGAAGGGGAACAAAGTAGGAACAACAGATTGAAACTTATTTGATGCCATCTTGGTTTTTGTAGATAATGGAAAAGAATAACCCATATTAGCCAAATTGTTGTATTCTTTTGTTGATCTGGTTTGGGGCTATTTTGACGTTTCAGGAAAAAGTGATTCAGGATATGTCTCACTAACTTTTTTATTTTTTATTATTTGGTTCAGAAGAAAAATCAGACTTTTGTTGTTTTGGAAAAGGCATGTTTTCTGCATTCAGTGTGTTTCGTTATGAATCAATCCATAAATTGCTGTACCACACTTGTCAAAATAAACCAGTCAGGTATCCTCATCATCATGTATTATTCCGATTCATTATCTATATTAGTATAGTAGTGTTTCAATTGTGCGTAATGAATATTTCTTGTTTTTGTATTGACACTTAATAAACTAACTTGTAGCATGAAAAATTAAAAACTCATACTGTTACGTAATGGTGCTCGCTTCAAATGTATATTGACACTAGATAAACTAATTGGTTGCATCTAAAATTAGAAAACTAATATTGTTGCGTAATGGAGATTGCTGCTAATTAAAGGCAGTTTAACTTTGAAACCCGCCCCAAACTTATTCTTTTCTCAGCTTATTGAATACTTAGTATATCTTTCTAGGTCTCGAGAGACCCCTCTAATACCAAAATACAGATCTGATCGACCAAAGGAAAGGTATAGCAAAAAAAAGGAGAAAAACAATTCTCTAAATGTTACGCCTGCCTGACACTCTACTAGAATGGGGGGTCAACTCTTACGGCTGAAGTTTGGTTATCTGATATTCCCCTTTTTTGGAAAGAAATCCCAGCCCACACTAATACTTCATCGTTGTCGGGCATTAGTTCAATAGTGGATTCCCCAGAATCATTAGAAACCCGGGTTGAATCTCTTTTACAAATGAATGTTAGGCTCTTTTAGATAAAGTTGTTTTCTATAAATTCCTCCGAACCACATGAATAGATTCTTCTTATGTTAACCATTTCTTATGAATGGTTATTTTTTATTGGAATTGTGTAGGTGGAAGAAGTAAGACGTGAAGACGTGGTTTGTGTGAAAAAGAAAAGTGCAACTTTAGCTGTGTCATTGTTCACACTAAATGCCTCTCAAATTTGCTTGATCTTCATGCTCTCACAGTTAAAGATAAGGAGGTGAGTCCTGCTCTTAGTTTGCAGCAATTCCCTTATACCCCTTCCCTTACCCCCCCCAACACACACACGTCTAAAGCCATAGCTTTATTAGGTACTGCTTTTGGTGTTGTTAATTCGTGTTACCCATTTCAGGTCATAAGTACATGTGGCGCTCACAAAATTGACCTTCTCTCGCTCTCTTATATGCAGTATACAGAAGATGTTAGTGGTAGCATAGGCCTAATGGGGTTGGTTTCACAAGCTGTTCATAATGGTGATCGGCATGTTATTGGGTGAGCTTCCTTCTCCTTCACTTTTCCTTCCATTGTATCCTCAAAACTCTTAAATAATTAGAAAACAAACAAAGTGACTAAGAAATAGTTGGTTTTTCAACTGCACAACTAATTTTTGTCATCTTATTGTCGCACTTGCAGAGTGATTCCCAAGACGCTCATGCCTCTAGTGGTATGTCTGCTATTAATTAATTAATAAAAAACCCACTAATCTGCTACTATTTTTAATCACATTTCTAATTCTATGGACAGTTTAGTCTTGTTACATCCTTATCTTCCTTCCTTTTCTTTCTTTATATGATTATATCTAGCTATTTTTTTTCATATATTAGTACTTCCATTTAACATATAGTTTATGGTGCTAATATACAAAAAAATTATCTATATGTATGTATGTATATTACTTCTTTACTACTGTTTGTCTCCCTCTAATATGTGTATATATTGTGGGTTGAAATGAGTGTGTGTGTGTGTGTGGAGGAGGGGGTTCTTAAAGTTATTTAATTTTTTTCCCCCTAATTTTATTGTGTGTGTGTGGTACTTGATTGCCTTATTCATTGTACCATTTGTAAGCTTGCATCTTATCACTTCTATAAAATTTTTAAGTTTCAAATGCTCCCTCTGATATTTTCCTTTTTGGTTTCATCTTTGTTGGATGGTCAGTTCAGCCATTAGTATATCCCTCTCTGTTCTTTTTCTTCTTGACTTTTTGCCAAGTTGTATATTCTTTTTGTGTATATATCCCTCTGGTATTATATGAAACATTGGCTCTGGAGTTAGCTGATTTAAAGAATTTGGGATTAGGACCACCTTTCCAGCAAGCCTATCTAGTTTAAGTCCACCATTTCCTGCAAGCTTCATCATTGCTGCACTGCACAAGTGCAAAACACTCCCAAAAAAAAAAAAAAAAATCTCTCTATAGATACAACACGCAAACGCGCACGCACACACACACACACACATATATATATCCAGATTTTAACTTTATAATATTTTTTCTACTTGGGTTTTGGTACCCTTTTGCAGTTAACCGGAGAAACAGTATGGGAAGTGAAGGCTGTTGCAGATATGCATAAATGGAAAGCAGAGATGGCTAAGCATTCTGATGCTTTTATTGCCTTACTAGGTTAGTGTAATTTTTTTAATTTTTGACAAAAATTCTGAGAAAATCATCTAAAGACGAGGACTTCAGGGCTATTAGTTTTCCATTTCTAGCTTGAGAGATTGACCATGTATAAACCTCATGTTTTGGTTCTTTTCAGAGTTGAAAACAGGTTAGCTTGTAATGATGAATTTCCTTGCTTGATCTTTAGTTGCCGGTCAAAAGGAAGTAAGAAGTGTCAGTCCCTTTAGTCAAATTACTAAAAACCCATTCCTTTGTTAAGATCAAAATTTTTTAATTGCCTAGAACTGTTCCTCAAGACACTGCAGTTTACTTAAGTAATACATGCGTTGAAAGCAGAAACAGATATGTACAAAAAGGAAAAGCAAAATGACAAAAAATTATTAGTTTTGTGCCTATCCTCTGGGTTGTATTACCATAACCTTTTGACAAAGAATTTGGCATTGCACTCTTGTTGATTATTTTAATTTGGGTTGATTAAATCAATTTATATATATGATTTCTTTTGTGGGGGCAAGGTGCAATGATTTTCCTTTTATAATTTGCTGTTGTGTATTGAATTTGATACATTTATGGTATATGGTATTGGTAATATTGCCATATCAGCCGTGTGAGGACTAAATCATAACAAGATTCAGAACCCTCTGGACTCTCTAGTTTATTGACCAGTCAACATCTTTCACTGAAAATTAGAGCATTAGGTCCTGAATGACCTACTACTGTGTTTTATATGTGTTTTTCTTTTTCCTTTGTTGTAATAATAGCCTCTGGTGCTAACTTGACCAAGTTTTCTTCCCAAATTAAGGGGACAATGTCTTGCCAAAAAAGGTAAAAAAAATTGCAAAGGAGATTCACCTTTTACCAACTTAGTTTTGGGCAACAAGCACCTGCACCTAACAGGAAGACATGTTCACACCTTATACTTCTGATATCCCCTTTTTTACTTGAGTCTTATCCTCGTGCGATTTTTTTTTTTCCCCCATTTGTCCTTTTTTTGGTGGGTTTCCTCTTGTGCTAACACAGTCAGAAAGATTGGAAGCCCATGTAGGGGCAAACTTGTCATTTCACTCTTCATAGGCTACACCTTATTCCCATCTCATTTTGAATACTTCTTTGACCTTGAATCATGATAACCATCAAATGGAAGGTACTAAGCTTAATAATTCTTAGCCAATTTAAATTCTACCCTGAAATTCCAACTTATTTCAAATGCATGATTTATGAATAATCTTGAAATTACGGAGTTATGTTATGTGATGATGTTACATGCAGGTGGTTATGGGACTCTGGAAGAGCTACTTCAAGTGATAACATGGGCTAAACTTGGCATACACGATAAACCTGTAATTCTTATTTCTGCTTTCTGAGATTTTGTTTGATTGTTGGTGATCCCTGCTAAAATTGCCTTTTAGAATCTGCTTTAATTAACTGTGTAAACTCTAATTCGATGCTAATAAATATATCTTATTTTACTGTTTTTGCAGGTCAGGTTGCTGAATGTAGATGGATACTACAATTCACTGCTATCAGTTATCGACAAAGCTGTGAAAGAGGGTTTCATTAGTCCAAGTGCACGACATATCAGTCTCTCTGCACCAACTGCAAAAGAGTTAGTGAAAAAATTGGAGGTAACATAAACTCAACATCACAGTTGCCTTTTCAGTTAGATTTTTTCATCTCCTCTGAACTACTTTTCTAAGAAAATAATTGCTGCAGACAGTTTCTGAAATAGTTTAGTGCCTGTCCTGCTCTTAAAAATGAAAAGAAAAGATTGCTTACTCTGTTTGTTCCGTACCAGAAATATTCAGAAAGTAAAAAATTCCATTTGTTTCATCGTATGTCAATGGACATTTGACACCGGAAAACATGATTTCCTCTCACATTTGAAAAGATTCATATAGATAATACAGTGGATTAATCTCATTTTCTTATACTTGTTATCACAGGAGTATGTTCCTCGCCACGAACGAGTTGCTTCAAAGTTGAGCTGGGAGATGGAGCAACTTGGCTACCCTCAACAATATGATTAACTCTAGGTGACATGGTGGTTTGACACAGAAAAGAAGCTAACTTGGAAAATTTGATGCTTTAAATCTGAGGGGAATTCTTTTTGTAAATCTCACTAAAACTCTCTCTACACACACACACACACACACACCCATATATATTGCCATGAGTTCTGTGAATTCACTAAACTCATTTCAGTTTTAGCTTCAACAAGTTCATCTTCAATTGAATCTATCATTTCAGTTTTTCACACATTTGCAACATTATTACCTCTGAATCATTTAGAAATCTGTGAAATCGTTAAGAAAGTTGTGGAATCGTTCTGAAATTTTTAAAATGATTCAGAAATCATGAATAATACAGTATGTGTAAACATATTACCAAATTGCTGTTGCTTGCTATTGTGTCCATTAATTCTCTGTCCACCTTATTTTCTGTGTTGTAATTGTGTGTTTGATTCTGTTCAGATCTCAACTAACTGAAGTAGTTATTTATTATTATTTTTTAAGAAGTTTGTGTTTGATTTAGGTATGAGTTCTGTAGAGTTTCTCTCTGCTTCTCATGATTTTTGGTTGTTTAAACGCTCTCGTGTCCATCAAAAAATAAAAATAAAAATAGGAACAAAAAAAAGTTTGTAAGTTGAGCATATCCTAGTGGATTCAACAAGTCTAGCGTTCACTGTTTAGAGAGAATTAGTTATTCAATGGCTTCTGACAATATTAAAAGTTGCCGCTGGAATAATAATGTGGAGAGACAGTTGAAGGACCAAATTTCTGCCTACGCCGCCGCTGAAATCATTGGCGGCAACGAGGATCTGGTGGTGGAAGTCCTTCGGCGTTTGCCAGCAAAATCCGCTGAAATCTCTGGCGTTTTCTTCACCTCTAGATCCGGATCTGAATTCATCAGATAAATTCCTCTCATTTGCTCTGACTTGAAGAATCGATGTAATAGTTCTACTACTATTACTATTAATGGCGGAGATGAAAACAACCCACTCGCTCTATTTAGTGATGTGAATACTACTACAACCGTAGACTCCTTACCGTTCTAGAAAATCTAAAACTGAACCAGACCATTTGAGTCACGAAATCAAACCAGCCTAAACCGTGAAAAAACAATTTAGTTTGGTATGGTTTGGTTCGGTTACACGGTTCTAGTTGAATTTTATTTCCTTTTTTTTTTTTTTCCCTTCAATTGTATATACAACAAAAATATCAATAAAAACATTCACATTCCCAAATTCAAGACTAAAATAGAGGGGAAAGTGGGTGAAACAGACTCAAAAGTTAAACCCTAGAAATTAAAATAAGGTTGAATCTTGCTAAAATTGAAAAGGATTTTCAAATCCGTGGTTGAAAACTAAGAAATTTGATTCGTTATTGTTGTTGGCTGTGTTTGAGGTGCAAACATGCTGTGAGATTTAGAGATATGTGAACTAGAAGAAAGAGAGAAGGGGATAGAGTGTGGGAAAGAAGATGTCACCTATGGCAACGATAAAAGATCGACGGCGATAACCGGACTTCGAATATTGCTTGAGAGAGATTGATCAACAACTGGATCTCATAGTGACGAGAACTAAGAAGTGAATGAAGCGGTATGAGCAAAGAAAAACAATGAAATAGTGGAAGAATGGTAGCATACACCAAAAAATCAAAACATTGGGAGAAGCAAAAACAAATAAAAAAATAAAAATATGAGATAATGATGAATGTTGGCTCCCGTTTGATCGTGTGCCGAAATTCCTTCCAAAGTTAAGAGTAGTATATATATATATATATATATATATATATATATCTATATATAATATAATATAACATATATTTGTATACCAATTATAACGGTCTGATCTAAGCTTGGCCGGTCCGGTTCGGTCCTGTAGGACCCTAATCCGGGACCAAACAAAAAATTTACGATTCCATTATTTTAAAATCGTGACCAGACCAAACTGCTATGGAATTGGCCCAGACCACCCGATTCGGTCCGGGTCCTGTTTGATCTTTTGGGTTAACGGTTTGATTTTTCGGGTTGACGGTGCTTCTCAATGCTCGTTTCCAGACAAAAAATAAAATAAAATAAAAAAATAAAAATTCATTTTTAATCAAAAAAGGAGTTATCAAACTGACTGAAATTCTTTTCAACATTAGTGCCCCTGATGTAAGATAATTGTGCACGAAACTAGCTCAATGATTTGGCAAAAAAATAAAGGAAGAAGTGTGATGCACATGATGAAAAGTTATTTTATAATTTTAATTAAAAAATTATCAAAATAAATTCACTTTTTCACATACTACCTCTGTCCCAAAAAAAAAAAAAAAATGTCATGCTTTCTTTTTTGGTCTGTCCCAAAATAATTGTCACTTTTATTTTTGAAACAATATATTTTATATTTTTCTATATATGTCCTTGGAATTTAAAATTTCAAATTTGAATATTCAAAACTTAGAGAGACAAATTAATAACTTTTCAAGAAGACAAGACATGTCTCACATGTTCCCTTAAAAATTCCTACTTCCCAAAAGTGTCATCTAAATTGGAATAGAGGGAGTAATTAATTAGTAACTTTTTTGAGTAATTAAAATTTTAAATATTTATGAAGCTTTTTTAAGATTAAAATTAAGAGTAAAAACTTAAGTTTAAGGGGTTGCAATTATTTGTATGATATGTATATAATTAAAGAATGAAATATATAATATTTGAGAACTTATAGACAAGAAAATATATAATATTACAAAACTTATTTGTTTAGTTAATAAACGTGACATAATTAAACAAACACATAAAGATAAAATATAAAAATAAAATAAATTAACATTATTAATGCAATTCAAAGAATAAAACAATTTTTTTATTATTATTTAATAATCAACATAATTAATGCAATTCAAAGAATAATATACTTGTAATAAAATAAAAAATTTTGAACCACGATATGAAATAGATCAATCAAAATAAATTAAAAATAAAAAATTTTGAACCATCATGCATTATATCACTTGTTCCACTTTTGGTAAACAAAGAATAAGTTAAATTTTAGGAAAATGATAAAGGGGCCGAAGTGTAACTCCCGAAAAACAATCGTGCAGATTTTATAAAACCTCTTACAAGTGAGTAAAACAGCCACTGGCGTTGACCTTGAAGAACTTCCCCGTCAAAAACAGTGAAGACCGGAGACCGGTGATCTAGAGAAGATGGTGGGATCTCCGTCGGGGCTAACCTTCTAGATGTAGTTGTCGGCTGCGTTGGTGGGGTCGTCGAAGGAGAGCGAGGAAGAAATTAAATTAAGAATCCCATTTCTTCTTCTTCTTTTTTTTTTTTTGGTGAGAATCTGACGTGGCTTTGTCACGAAAGATTCGGTCTTTTTTTCGGGGATACCTTTTGGTTCCCCTATCACTGCCCATTTGGGTGTTGGCCAAGTATGCTGACTATCGGTAATCTAAGTGATTGAAATATTCCATTTTGAAGTTCATGATATAATCGGAATTTGAGTCGGATCAAATTGGGTATTGCTGGCAAACTTTAATGCTATGAACATATTTGACTCATTGGCGTCCTAGCATGAGGTCTTTTATTTCCCATGCCAGTTTAAGCATTGGAAGCCAAAGACATTAAATTATTGCTTTCTTATACTTCTTTGAACACGACGAAGACATCAAAAAAAAAGAAAAAAAAAGAAAAGAAGAAGAAGCCTACAATGTGTGTTTTGCTTCTACTGAATTGACGGGGATGGAGGAATTAGCATTTTGGAATACTCTATGGAGAGAGGAGGGCATGATTTTATAAATCGATAAAAAAGAGAGAAAAAAAGAAAAAGGGTGATTATCCAATTAAAACGGGTCGATTTGACTTTCTATTCTCTTTCTTATAATTTTGTTGATTTTATTATTAAAATTGATGTGTTATTTTTTTATTAGAACATATAAGAGCATCTCCAATGCAAATAGTCATTTTTGCATGCCAAATTTATAATTTGACTATAGTTACAGTGTCAAAATGTTATATTTTAACAACTCTGCTCCAATGGTGCATTTCATCCAAAATGCTATTTTTTGGCACAATAACCCATTTTTTCCAACTACCATTATCAACTACCAATTTTCAATAACTATTTTTTTATTTTTTTGTGAGTGTTTGTATTTTATTTAGCTTATTTGCCTGATTAAAAAAATAATAATAATTAATTATCAAATTCAATGTAAAAGATAAGAATGTAAATTATATAAAAATAAATGGGTAAACTTGTCATTTACATAACAAGTAAACTCTATAAAAAAACTTGTCATTGCAGTCATGTGAATCTTTACTCTGTAATTGCAGTCAAATGAATTTGCATGTCATGTTACCCTTGTTTTGCTTCATTGTGGTTTCATCCATTACTGAAAATTCCTTACTACTGCTTTCCATAGGAGTCTGAGTTGTGTCTCAGTTCTAGATGTGTGTGATGTTTTCATTTGACAATTGTGATAATTCAATTCACAATTATTTTGTTTTGTTTGCTTATAATTCAGTTCTCTTTTGCTACGATTGGTGTCTCCATTTATTTGAGAAATCAAGTAAATACAAGTGATTGAAATCTCATTACCCTGTTAAGAGTCAGAAATAACAAGCAATATGTACAATGATATTACAACATTCAAAGCTAGCTGTTTAAAACATTGTCCTTTACACAAAAATTGAGCTGCCTTCAAACATTGAACCCATTTACACAAAAGATTTGTTTTTGACAGCCCATTTACACAAAAGATCAGCAACTAGCTGCAAAAGTCTCAACTTCACGTGTCCTAACACAATAATCAAAGTTTGTTGAGTGTGTTTGTAGTTTGGCAAGAATCTCATCCTTGCGCAGCTGGTAATAAACTTTCGCCTGAGGGTCCATGTTAGAAAGGTTCATCATAATCTTATCATCTCTCTCTTTTTCCTTGGCTTCTTTCTCTATGAACCTACTGTAATATATATAACAATCACATTGATAATTATCAGAATTGAGAATACCGAAGTGTTCTTTAATATATATAACAATCACATAAACAACAGCTGAGCAATTGAGTTTTCAAAAAAAAAAAACAGCTGAGCAATTGTGTCTTAGGCAGCTTGGCTGATCAAGCTAATTGTCCTGACAAAAACACACACGAAAAAACTCACAAATGAGACTGCAAATTAAAGTTCATCACATCATGCAAAGACAGATATAACTTGTGTATCTCACTTTTACACACACACACACACACACACAGACACACATATCAATGCCCATTAAAGAGAGAGCTTTCATATAAAGAGGGTCAACTTGAATTAACTTTCTATAACTGACAGAATTTACATCAGCTTTAAAAACTCAACACCCATTAAAAACAAGAGCCTTCTAATTCAACAGAAGAAAAATCAAATACCTCTCATTGATTTTGTTTGGTAAAAATGCTTCAAATTCAAAGTTTTCATAGGAAAAAAAGAAAAGTGTATCTCACACTTCACATAAAGAAGTTACAATTTGAAAAACTAACCTCGTAACTGAAAAAACATAAATTTGTATTAGCTTTGAACCCTCAACAACCATTAATTAAAATAAAAAAAGAGTCTTGTAATTCAAAGTACATAAGAAAAATCAAACACCTATCACTTATTATTATTATTATTATTATTATTTATTATTATTTTTTTTCTGTTGGTAAGAGATTGAGAGAGAGTCTATCACTCTGAGAAGAAGTTAAAATTAATAACATGGAAACCAAAGCTTTATTATGCAAAGATTCTTCTAGCTCTATACTTTAATAGTGGTGTCTCATTGTAAACCAAACCAACTTTTTCTATTTTTCATCGGCAAGCAAGATTCATGTTTAACCTTTTTAGTGAATTAAAATTAAACCTAATTTGGCTATGATAACTATTTCAATTTGGTTATGAACCTACTGATATTTTATATAGTAGGAAAATAGTCCATAACAACATATAACATTGTAACTTAAACCAACTTTTTCAATAACTTATATTCTATCCCTGCGAATCTTTTATTTATGCATCAAATTCTATATATAATCTTTTATTTGCATTGCCCATCTATGGCAAAACTGCGAATTATATAATGTAAATCAATTTGCAAGCTTCTGTAGTCATGAATCATTGATTATGGAGATCATTGTTGTTATCTCAACTGAAAATGGATTCAAATGCCTTGTTCTGTTTCTGGGTTTCCCTTATATTTTTTGTTCTGTTACTACATACTAGATGAGGCATGTCTGATTTAATCTCTTAATTTAATAATTTTGATTCTTTTCTTTGAGTAAGTCTTATCTACTTCTTCTTTTAAGTTTGTCTTAGCTAGAGTGAACTATCAACTGTTAAATTTATTATCAAATTGGGTGATTTACAATGTTTTTCCTTTATATTTTAATCCTTCAGTTTAATAAAGTATACATTTGTTTATTTATTCTACTTATTTATTTATTTAAATTTTCCATCTTTATGTGATCAATTTTATGTTGGAAGTTATTATTATTCCATTTTACAGATCAAGTTTTTGCATTTTACCCTTAGATGAATGCAAACACAAACACACACATACATAATACCAGGATGTATGAATGAAGATAATACATTTTCTGAATTTATGCTGCTCTTTTCAGTTCATTTTTCTATTATAGTTTTTACCTTTATATCTATTTCTCGTGTTTCTTCCAAATTTGGTTTGTCAAGTTACTGTCCTTTTGCCCCAAATTAACTGAATAATCTTTTTCTGAAACGCTAATTCAAGTTTGTTTGTATCAAGTCCGATTTTATTTTTTTATTGTTTTGAAAATTTCAACTGTGAGATAACACCATTTATGGTGTACTGGGTGTCTAATATACCACCATACTATTATTTATATGTATAGGCAATTTGGGGACGAAACATGGGAAGGATTTCAATATTCTTCTTAGGGATTTTAGTAATGTGCTGCTGGGCAGCCATGGTAGAAGCGTAAACAAGTGTATATGTAAAAAAAGATGAGAAATCAACACAGAAATTGAATTGAAGGCCCAATTGGGAATTAGCAATTACCCAATAAACATACTTGTAAAACAAAACATATGCACAGAGAGACAAATCTGGATCCCAAATACAAAGCCCATGCCGGATTTTAGAATGAAATTGAAATTTCTTAAATCAGAAAGCATATATATACACATATATATATACACACATGCAAATATATACATATCATACCTGTTGCTTCCTTCTAGAGTTTCAAAGCGACGGAGGAGTGGCTATGGTGTAGGCATTTGTCCATGGTTTGAGGAGAGAGTGTGTGGTGTAGGAGAGAGAGAGGGAGAGAGGAGGGCAGGGCTGAGGTAGAGCTCTGATCGGGATGCTGGTGGTGGGGTTTGATCGACAAATAGCGGGCCGTTCTCTTCTCTCTCTCTGTCCTCGTCGCTGCCGTTCTCTTCACTCTCTCTCCCTGTTGCCCTACATAGGGAAATAGCAATTGCCATTTCTTGTGCTAGAATTGACAAAAGAAATGGCAAAGTTAAAATTTAGCGGGCTAAATGACAGTTCATTGTAGAGCCCATTTGAAGCCCATTGTTATATTTTAATAATAGCAACTCAAATAAGATTGAGTTAGAAATGCTCCGAAGGTGAATAAGATAAAGCTACTCATCATTAAATAACTAAATATTATCCTTATAATTATTAGGTAAAAAAGCAAAAAATTCCTTAAACTGTACAATAATTACATAATGCCCCTCAATAGTTTTTTTTGAAGTAAGTTATACCATCAACTATAAAAAAAAAGCAAAATGCCTCCTCCAAGACCATTTAAGACAAAATTTTGACCGGTAAAATAATATAATTATTAATTTATTTATTAATGTATTATAAAAAATATTAAATTCATGAATGTTAAATAGCAATGTTCGCATATTTTTATTTTATTTTTTTCTTCTCTAGTCTTCCCTGCCGCAAAAAGTTGAAGCCAAAGTCAATAAGGCTGCCATCGCCCACAGTGACGCCGGTGATTTCTGTCGGAACAGAGCTTCATGTTTGGATCGGAGATTTCAGAGACAGAGCAATCACTTCTGCGTTCGGATCTATAAACAAAAATAAACAGATATATTAACTTCTATATATATACGTACTATATAATTTCAACTGTTCGATACATATTTGGAGAATTAGTTCAATGATTTTACCTGGCATTCCAGGGAGATTTCGCTTCTTCTTTGATGTTGATTTTGCTGGTACTACTTAATTGCCGGAAGAAGAGACACTCGCTTCACCTGAAGCTATGGAATCATTCATGCGGATAAGTTATCTACGTCAGCTGGCATGGTGATGAAATTTGTTATAGGGTTTTTTTTGGGTGGCCAAAAGAACGAAATCTAGGGCATTTGTCTTCTCAAAGAATTTAAAGAGACTATTGAGATTAAATTTCTACTTTCTAGGGTTCCAACAAAGTTTTCTCTAACTTCCAGTCAATCTTGCTATTTCTCTTCACATCTACCACTTTCTTACCAAAACCCATATTAACAAACAACCTAATTAACAAAACGCACGACTTAAAATCAGCTCTGAGCTCGAACAAAGATGAAGACTCAGAACAAATCGCCTGTAATACCGGTAAATTGATCGCCGGCGAACACAGTACAATCCAATATCGAAGTTAATGGAGCTTTTTCACTCTATAAAAAACATAACCAAACAAATAAATTAGAGATTTTGCCCAAATATGTGAATTTTCGGACATTCAACTTTACTTGATAACAACTATCCAAAAACAATTTCAAACGTTTCGACGAAAATGATTGAAGTAACGAACCGATTCAAACGCCGAATATCACAATAAGAAAAGCTCTCTATGTCGACGGCTAAAAAAAAAAAATTACTAAAGAGAGAGAGTTTTGCAAAGTCGTCTCTCTGTTAGTCTTAGTTGTTGTCTCTTACTTTCTTGAAGAAGAAAAAGGAAATTGAAAACCCAATGTCCAGTATCATTGGATCGATAAGACACGGATGATTAGTTGGATGAATGCCCATCATCAAAACCCAATGTTCTGACGATGGCAGCCTTGTAGAAAAAAATAAAATAAAAATATGAGTGTATTATTGGTATTTTATATTTATGAATTTTATATTTTTATAATAAATTAATAATTAAGGGTAAATTAGTAATTATATCACTTCGCCGGTCGGAAAAGTTGTCTCTGTTGGTCTTCAAAGGGGCATTTTGCTTGCTTTTAATAGTTGAGGGGGACAACTTGTTCTCAAAAATAATTCGGGAATATTATGCAACTATTGTATAGTTTAGGGGCGTTTTTTACTCTTTTGCATAATTATTAGCATCCCTTAATAGCTAAAATTATAGCATCACTAAAAAGAAAATTATTATTTATTTATAAAATAAAATAAAATAACATAGTTTTTTTTTCTATCTCTCTGTATAAGTATACGGGGTCGCGTGTAAAAAACACCCCTCAAGTATGCTTACGGTACATATCACACCCTTCATGTGCAAACAACACCCCTCAAATTTCAATTTGGTGCAATTAAATCCATGTGACATATTTAAAACCAAACTTGACTAAACTACCCTTAGTCAACAATAGGGCAGCAATCGAGCCGAGTCGAGCCGAGTAGTGGGCTATTTGAGCTCAATTCAATCTGCAGCAGGAGTGTTCGAGCTTAACTCGAACTCGAATTGAGCCTTGGCTTCATTGTTTAAACTCGGCTCAACTGTGTTCGCCAAAAACTTGAGCTCGGCTCGAAATTCGTTTATAATATATATATATATATATATATATATATATGTGTGTGTGTGTGTGTGTGTGTGTGTGTGTGTGTGTGAAACGCACAAAACACACATACAAGAACACATCAAGAAGAAACCTAGACTTCAAAATCTGAGATCCCAAAAGAAAGTAAAAACAAGGAAATTGGGGGTTTTCAGTAAAGAGTAAAAGGAGAGAAAAGTAAGAGCTCTAGACATTAGCACCGCACTTCGCATCGATCTTCTCTCAATAATACTCCGCTTTCGTCTGTAAGAGATATATATATCGTGTATATATATAAAGGGAGAGAGAAGAGGAGAGAGGAAGGTTGAGTGGTGATGGATGAAGGCGGTAAAGCCACCGATGGTAGATGGAAGGGATGCCAGAGGTAAAAGAGAGGGTAGATGAGGGAGTGAGATCCTGGCGACCGATCTTCGTTGATGGTTGGGGACAAAGGCGGATTCAGCCTTTCTAAATGGGATGGGTTAATTTTGGATTGGGCTAACTTTGGACTGGACTATCATTATTTTTATTTATTTATTTATTATTATTTTTTTTTACCATACTACTTTAAGCCCAAAAAAAAAAAAAAAAAAGAAAAATTTATGGAGTGGGCTGAAGCGTAGCTTCGCCCACCCTTGGTTGGGGATCAATACCTCAAACTCTATATATAATTACAATATGACCCCAATATAAATATATATCTACATATAAATGTGTTACATACAATTACAATCTGACCCCAACTTTTGTATATATTATAATTGGGTTTGTGTATGTATATATATATATATATATATATTATAAACGAGTATGTACGCAAACGCATTATCGAGCTCAGTTCGTAAACGATTCATGAACAAATGAGTCGAGTCTACTGATGTTCAGCCTCGGCTCATTTATGAATCAAGCCTCATAATTAGGCTCGAGCTCGGTTCGCCGAGCCGTTCATGAACTGCTCGGGCTCAGCTCGAGCTCAGTTCATTTATAAAATATATAAAAATACAATTTTTTTTGTAAAAAAACCAAAAAGAACAACCAACAAACGTGGTCGTTTTGCACACCCATTTACACTACACCACATTCCATCATTTCAAAAACCGTAACCCATCGTCATCGTCTACCTCCGTTGCCTCGCGTTCTTGAGAGAAAAGAGACCAGAAACCCTAGCCACCATCGTCCATCATCTGCCTCCATCACCTAGCGTTCTTGAGAGAAAGAGACTAGAAACCCTAGCTCATCGTCCATCATCTGCCTTCATCACCTCGCGTTCTTATCGATTCAGAAAGTAAGATCAGTTCGTGTTCTTTTGCGTAACTGTAAGTTCTCTCTAACCCTTATTTATCTTTATATTTTGTTTTAGGGTTTTTCTGTCTCTCAATTAGGGAATTTTTTCTCTCTCCATTAGGGTTTTTCTTTTCTTTCTTTGTTCCCCAAATCAATTAGGGTTTTTCTTTTGTTTCTTTATTCCCCAAATCAATTAGGGTTTTTCTTTCCTTTTTCTTTTCTCAATTACGGATTTTTTCTTTTCTGCCTTTTCTTTCCTTGAGCGAATCATCTTCGTCGTTATACTCATATTTACCTTTTAATTCTGTTTTTGATGTTTCTTTATTTCTCATTGTGAACATTTCAGTCGACGATTTAGGGCTCTCTTTCTCTGGTGTGCGACTGCGATTCCAGACTTTCAGCGGCAATCCAATTTCTCTCTGGTATGTTCTCTCTCATCTTCTTCTCCGGCGATTTAGGGCTATTTTTTCCATCTCCTCTTCTTCACAGCTTCTCTAGATATTTTTTATGGATCATGTGTTTTTTTTTTTTTTTGTTTGGATCATGTGATTAATTTTTTTCTTCTGGGTCATTAGATTTTTTTTTTTTTCTTTTCTGGATCATGGGATTATTATTATTATTATTTTTCCTGGATCATATGATTATTATTATTATTATTTTTTCTTCTAGATCATTAGATTTTTTTTTATTTTTTTTTTATGGATCATGTGATTATTAATTTTCTTCTGGATCATGTGATTATTATTTTTTTTCTGGATCATATGGCTTGATGGACCTTAAAAATGTATTCACCAGGATGCATAATTGATAGAACATATGTCTTAGTGTCTAGTCGTACTTTAAACTGCCATGCGATTAGATATTTGATTTCCTCATTAAACTATCATATTGCTTAATTTAAGGTTACGAGATTTTAAGATACGTTGTTGCCTTAATTGATTGGGTGCCCACAATGTGGAATCTTGTGTTGTCAATGTAGTTGTCTTGTTGTGTAGAAATTGCTCCTTTTTAGATAGCAATTGTTTCCTGTGGTGATGGTTTTTTTGGGTGGAACATTGTTCCTCCATTAATTGTTGATTTAATCATATAGAAAGTACCATCTGAATATATTTCCAGTGTATGGCTAACACTACAATGTTGTGCCTATACATAATGTGTCCGGTTGTTGTTAATGGTATGGTGGACCTTAAGTTGAAAAGTGAGAACTTTTTATCTACACTCTAGACACTTTTTAAATGTAGGGAATCATTTGGTGGTACTCCTTGGTTGCACATATTTAAGTTCTAACTAGCAAGGAAAAAAAAAAGGGTTATAACTAGCAAGATAGGTTTCCCTAGAAGCTAACCAGTTTTGTCCAAGGATTATTATTTTTTTTCTGGATCACGTGATTATTAATTTTTTTTCTTCTGGATCATTAGATTTTTTTTTATGGATCATGTGATTTTTTTTATAGATGGAGACAAGTCATTTAATTCATCTGCATCATTCGGGTAATTTCAACAAGTGTAACAAGTATGTTGGACGGGACTTGCAGCTGTTTGATAATGTGGACCCTAATACAATGTCATATTTTGAAGTTCAAGGTATACTGAAAAGCCTTCATTTGACTGCACACAGTAAGATTTTCTACACGTGTAACAAGCGTTTGATAACTTGGAATATTGCATATTTCTAATGGTGACATTCATGATGTTGAGAATCAGGGAGGTGATGGGAATGGTAGAGGTAATGTAAACGAGACAGTTGCAGAAACTGTGAGAGTGAGACCTACAAGGACTGTTGAGGAAGAGTTGCAGCCATACAAGGGCTTGGGATAGGGAGAGCAGCACGGACAGCACAAGGAAGAGGTGATAGGACTGTTAGAGGAACTGGGAGAGGAAGAGCTACATGGACTAGGCAAGGGAAAGGTAGGGGCAGTGGTAGCATTGGAGTGACAACACAAGGAAGGGGTGCATTAGACAATGGGACTTCCAACTTTGTAGATGTTCCGGACACAACTAGTGAGGTATGGGTGCGCTTGTTTTAACAACCTATCTTCATTAAATAATACTTATTTGTGCCTTTGATATGACCTAATTATTTGTTCAAAATTGTATTAATAGGTTTTTAATGTTAGCCAATCTCAAATTGTTGACATGCCTACTCTCCTATCACAAGCCACCCAAGACTATTGATGGAATTTGGTATCTCAGCAACATAATTGGTGTATGATGACTTAAAGTTGCAGAAACCGGTATTGGGTTTTGTTTAGGATGATGGTTGATGTATCACGGCTTTACTTTTTGAAGGTGCATTAGATGCTTTAGATGTAATGTTTAATGAATGCTTGATTGCTTGTCAGTAAGGTATTCACTTGTATTATTGGGTTTTTATTTTACTGAAAGTGGTACATTTGTTGAATGTGAAATTGGGTTTGCACTTATTGAATGGTTTGATAAATGACAGGTTAGTTGAATGCATTACTATAGTTGAATGTTTAAAAAAAATTCTTCATTCATATATTCATTCATATGGCTGAAGCATTAAAGTTGAATGCAATATTACATAAATAGATTTCCTCTGGGAACTCAAATAATAGATTCACATCACTATATAATACAGGTTAAACGAACCAAAACACATTCTTGCACAACGATAAAACATTCTACCCGAATTTCAAATCTTCAAAGGACTTCTAACTTAACAATAGAGAGATGGGTTTTTGAGGATGAAGATTCCATGTAAAAAGGAGAAATATAGAGAGATATAGTGCTAAGAAATGCAAGAGGGAAGTAATATATAGTGAAAAAAGTTATTAAAAAAAATAATATATAAGGTAATGTGCACATAACACCCTTATAATATGAGATTAGTAGCATATTTTCCCTCTTGGGTATTTTCGGAAGACTAAAAGGGTAAAATAGGTATTACAATAATAATTTAGGGGTGTTTATTGCACAGAGGAGTAATGTTGTACAATTTTAAAAGATTAGGGGTGTTTATTGCACACCTTTTCAAATAGGGGGTAAAAGTGTTACACAGAGTATACTTGAGGGGTGTTTTCTGCACTTACCCCTAAGTATATATACCCACTATTACTATAATTTTTGTATCCATATATACATATCACTACTACCTCTAACTAAATACCTTAATCCATATATATATATATATATATATATATATATATATATATATAAAAGTGAGAAAAACAACATTAATGTTTTAATTTTGGATAAATAATATCCCTATCTTTTATTTTCGTTATATAATCTCGTTAAGTTTGAAAAAAATGATCAAGTAATGACTTATAGGTTTTGTCGACAAATAGTCCTTACTTTTTTAAAATGTGCATTTCAATCCATAAAATTAAAAAACTATGCAAATAAGTCCCTTTGACCACTTTTTGGTCAAAATTGACATAAAATAAATTTTAAAACCCTAATTTACCCTTCTCTTCCTATTATGCCCTTTTTTAGTGGACTCCCGGTAGCCACATCACTGCCGCCACAGACACACTGCACAGCTCTCCGGCACCCAAAGCCACCACCACTCCCACACCCAAAGCCGCCACCACCACCACCTCCACACCCAAAGCCGTCACCACCACCCCTAAACCCAATATAATAATAAAAAAATGCAACCGTGAGGTTCACGCACGACGAGAACGACAAGAGTCCGAGAACAATGAAGAACCCACTGGCAATGGTGGAGGGATAGAATAGCGGCAGCGAACAAGAATGTTGGCAGCGTGACTGAACGACGATGAAAGAGTGACCAGTGACGAACAAAGATCGGACTTGTAGCTACAGACTATGGTTTGAAGCGGTGGTGATGGCGGCAAGCTCCACGACAGCGTAGGGACGGCGGAACTGGGTCTACCGTGATAATGGATTGACAATGGATTGTGATATTGAGCAAGGATGTCGACAACAACGGCGATGAAAGAGCTTACCGGCAAAACTGGGTTTGTATAGCCAAGGAAACTGTCCGATGGTTTGAACGGCGACGAGCTTGGTTATGGTGGTCTGTTATGCTCGATATTGTTCAATGGCCGTGAACATAACTGTGAGCGAAGATAGTTCTGCCGTCGATGAAGCTTTTGTCTTTCTTTCTTGGCGAGGAAGACGGTGAAACAGTGGTAGTGGGTTGAACAGCACCCAAGATGATGATGAGTGTGATGCACTGAATCATAGTTGGCAGGTTTATACGGCGATGATGGAGTGTACCCGTGGTAACGGAACCAGCTACAGTGGAATGAACCAGTGACAGCGGCGATAAACCAGTAGTGGCAGAATGAATGGCTGGAAAGATGATAGAATTGTGCTCGATAATGATGGTGTCGGCGTAGGGGAAGTGGGGGAGATGTAGCTTGGGTTCGAGTTCTCTGACCTCGGTGAAGAATGGCTAGGGGTTTTTCTCAATGTTAGCGACTCAGCGTCGGTGTCGGTGGAGGTGATGATGATGGTGTCGGTAGAGGGGAAGTGGGGGAGGTGGAGGTGCGATCGACTATGACTGTGTCGGTGGATGGTGTCGGTGGAGCTTGGGGTCGAGTTCTCTGACCTTGGTGAAGAAGAAGATGGAGGAATTGACCTTGATTGTGTTGGATTGGGAAATTCGGGTTTTGATGGAAGGGGGTGGAGGAGGATGTGGTGGTGGTGAAGAAAATTAGGATTTTGCAGGGGTGGAAGAGGCAACCGAGGTAGAGAGAGTTCGGGAATGGTCTAAAAGAGTAATTTCACCTTGCATTGTTTTTTTTAATATTATTTTATTTTACTGAGGGTATTATAGTTTTTTATGCGATTAGGGGGTATTTGCACCAAATTGATAATATAAAGGGGTTTTATACCACACAGAGACTTTTTTGCACTATACTCTATCTATAACATATGGAGTTTTTTTTGCAGTTAACTCCATTTATACTTATTAATTTATTCCACTGAAATGAGGGTATTATCATCATTTTAAGTCTCCAGGGGTTATTAAAATCAATAATATATGGGTATTTTACACTACATAGGGACTATTTTGCATTATATTGATAATAGAGGGGAGTTTTTTTTGCACGTAACCCAATATTTTATGAACAAACAAAGAATTCACATAGATTTCGTCTACATTGTCGCTTCAGATTTTTTTGTTGCTTCAACTGCTTGACAATTTCATCAATCTGCATGTGTGTATATCTGAGAAACAATAAAATGGCAGACTTTTTAAATTTCAAAATAATTGCTATATTTACGATGCCTGTGGGATTTTTTTATTATTATTTTAATCCGGTTTTTTTATTGTGACACGTGGGTAACATTGAACCCGCAATGAAATCCTCAGCAGATTCTCACCTCATAACTTATTAGAGTTACTTAAGTAATTTTTTCGATAATTGCTTGATACACGTAAGACGAGATTACATATGTCTGATGGTGTCCGGATTTTCACAAAATCCCTTATCAAAACTTTTCCCAAAGCCCCTTTTTCATTTCAAAACAATTCTTTCCCATTTCATTTCAAAACAATTCTTTCCCATTTTTCCTTGCCCAATGCTATGCAATTTCCCCAGAGCCAATGGGTTTTTGCCTTGTCCCAATCATAATGGGGTGGATTTGGTAACTTTCTAAATGAGTTTGGAGTGGGTATGATAAAATAATTGAAAACTCGAAACAGGTTTGACCCACTCCACCACATAGTAAGATATTGTCCGCTTTGGGCCTGAGCCCACACGGTTTTTGCTCTTGGGCTTCACCCCAAAAGGCCTCATATTAATTGGAGGTGACACACTTACATATAAGCACTTCACCTTTCCTCTACCCAGGCGATGTGGGACTGTGCACCCGTAGCTCGCCAGTGTGGTAGCCTGACAGTGTCTCTCGCACCCGCCCACGGCACACCCGCCCACAGGGTCATCACAAATGTAATACCCCTAATTTTAAAAAGAATATTCCTGGTATTTAATGTTATTTAATTTATTATTTAAGTGCATTTTATTTGATTATGTGTCATTTTTTTTTAGGTGCTTAATTGTTTTCTTTTGTGATGATTTAATTTATTTATAGTTATTTGATTGGAATTACTTGTTAGTATTTTAATTATTTAATTAGCATTAATGGTTTAAGTATAATTGGTTTAGTTATTTGATTGGAATTACTTGTTAGTGTTTTAATTATTTAATTGGCATTAATGGTTTAAGTGTAATTGGTTTAATTATTCTATGTGTGTCTTATTTTATGTGTGTCTTATTTGGTTTAATTGGGTTTACTAATTATTATTTTGTTCAATTAGATTATTTGTTAAGTATTTAATGGTGAATAGGGTAATTAGGTAAATACATCAAACTAGGGTTTTAATTACAGTATAAATTAGGGTTTTGTATTATAGCCGTCGTAGGTTTCTACGTTAATTGGATGGGCCGGTTAGGATTGTGAGTTGGACTTAAATGAACCTAGGGTTTAGGAAAACTCTATAAGTATAAGGTAGACGTTTGTGTAGGGTTTTTTTAAACAAAGCACACGTTTTGTGGAAGTGGAGAAGGAAAAACGCAGTTTTTCACATTCTGCCAAGGTTTGATCAAAGCTCCGATCCCGCTTCGTCCGTGATCCGATCGAGCTGAATTTTGGAGGAGAGGTTCACGACTCAGTGACGCACAATCTGAACGGTGGAGATCAGAGTTTGACCTCGGGAACAGTGATTCGTACACATGAACAGTAACCGGGTCGCACATGTTTTTTCCATTCTGCCCAGATTTCATCAAACATCCGATCCCGCTTTGTCCGTGATCCGATCGAGCTGAAATTTGGAGGAGAGGTTCATGACTCAGTGACGCACAATCTGAACGGTGAAGATCAGAGTTTGACCTCGGGAACAGTGATTCGTACTCGTGAACAGTAACTGGGTCGCACAGGTTTTTTTTCCATTCTGCTCAGATTTCATCAAACATCCGATTTTGCTTCATCCGTGGTCTGATTGAGTTGAAATTTGGAGGATAGGTTCATGACTCAGTGTTGCACAATCTGAACGGTGGAGATCAGATTTTGAGTTCGGGAATAGTGTTTCGTACCCGTGAACAGTCACCGGGTTTTGGAACTTGCCGGGATTTTTTAAGAAGACGACGTTGAAACTTTGAACAAAAGTTTCTGAGGCAGGATTCTATTCTTACTCTTTCCCTTAGGCTTCATACTCTTTGCACTCTTAAATGATTCCAGGATTAATGAAGATTAAACTAAACTAAAATGATATCTGTTTTGCTATGAAACTGGTAGTTACAGTAGTGTTGTATGCTTATTCAACCTAGACTAAGCATGTTTGTGGATGCATTGTGGTTCTGTGGTTCACGTTTTTCCTTACCACTGCTAGTATAAATTATTGGAAGGATAGGTCTAGATGATAGCTATCTTAACTTCTGTAATAGCAACTGTTGGAACTTAAATACTA